TCCCAAAACTTCCCTTTTGAAATCAGCGCGGTAACCGCACTGATCCGCAACCGCCCTGGTGTGAATGGGCTCTTAGACCTGCACTGTAAAAGGACAGCTGGAAAGTGGAAGTTTGAATGTGACTCGTCTCCTAGGACAACACTGACAGGAACTCCCATTCTGACACATTGACAAATAAAGTTCTGCTTTGATAACTAAGATGGGCCAGACAGATTTTATTCTGAATGAGGAAGTTTGATTTGTTTTTATTCTTAGATTAGAAAGGTAAAATCCTACTGATTCTTATTTTACATGTGATCACCCTGTGTTGCCAATGATTGTGTTAAGTTATTTTGCCAAAATAGTTTTATTTATAGTTTTAAATCCTGTAAAGTGGTACTCGCCTTTTGTTGGATGAATCCTTTGTTTTAATCATTACATTTATTTTGACCAATCGTGTTTTGTAAACCTTTGTAGAAGTCTGAATTATTTAATAAAAAGGATAAAGAATAAATTAATTTTTAATGGATACAAAAGGACTCGGCTATATTTTTTCTCCAAAGGTGACCATACAGGAGAGAAGATTGCTGTATGGTACGAACTAGGGATGTCCCGATACCACTTTTTTAAGACCAAGTACATGTACTCGCCCTCCAATACCAATTGCAGATACTTTTTCTTAAAGGGACATGTGAATTTTTTTCTAAAACAACACAGACTAATAATTTTAGGGCAGTTTCTCACCTGTGCTAAATATAGATGTCCGCAGAGCACAATATAGATGTCCGCAGAGCTCAATACAGATGTCCGCAGAGCACAATACAGATGTCCGCAGATCTCAATACAGATGTCCGCAGAGCTCAATACAGATGTCCGCAGAGCTCAATACAGATGTCCGCAGAGCTCAATACAGATGTCCGCAGAGCTCAATACAGATGTCCGCAGAGTTCAATACAGATGTCCGCAGAGCTCAATACAAATGTCCGCAGAGCACAATACAGATGTCCGCAGAGCTCAATACAGATGTCCGCAGAGCTCAATACAGATGTCCGCAGAGCACAATACAGATGTCCGCAGAGCACAGTACATCCCAGCAGAGCAAAAAACAACCAAGCAGAGCACAATAGATTCCACCACAGCAGCAGAATACATCCCAGCTGGGCACAATAGATCCCACAACATCTGCACAATAGATCCCACACAAGCACAATACATACCACCAGAGCAGAAGGCTGCAGTCTCAACCGGGCGACATGTGGATCTCTGCAGGGCTCTCAGTTGATCGGGTGGGTGCTGGTGTCCGGGGCTGTGCTGTGTGTGGGGCTGTCCATGGCTGTGCCAGGAAGAAAGGGCAGGAGGTATAGAAACGGACAGGCACTGCCTGGGACAGCTACTGCCAGGACCCCAGAAGGCTGCCGAGGTCCCGACAAAAATTTAAAGGGCTGGCATCTGCCTTTAGAATCGGGGCATCTTTACAAGTACTCATGAAAATGCCTGGTATTGGCCCCGATACTAGTATCGGGACAGCCCTAGTACGAACCTCAACAGCACAATCGGGAGACAGTCTCACCATTTGTAGAGTGCGAGTCTTCATATCTTCAGGGCTTTTGAATTAATTTGAACCAAAGTTTCATCTCGTGCAGAGATAAACAGAGACATGGACGGCTTTAGGGTAAATGAGGCCCCGTACAAACGTGTATTAATAATCCAAGTTGACAAAGGTAGAGTGGACCAGTACAAGCGTATTAACGCCTCTAATAACCCAAGTAACCAATGGTAGAGTGGTGACATGGTGCAGGAGAAGTGGCTGACTTACCATGCATATGCCATGTTACCAGGCTGATTTCATGTGCAATGTGTGATGTACTGTTACCACTCTGATATGTTACCACTGTAATGTTATACCATGGGTAGGCACCAGCTGTGGTGAAACTATAAATCCTACCATGCTTCTGCCTCCGGAGGTCATGCCCATAGTTGTCAGGGTCTTCACATGGGAGTTGTAGTGTCACCACAGCTGGAGTGCTAAGGTTGCCTCCCCCTATACAGTCTGATGCTATAATAATGTAATGCAGTATTAATAGTGTGCTTAATTGCTGGTGTAAGGTATCATTACCAATGTGATCCACTGTTCCCACTGTGATACAATTCAAATCACTGGAAACACAGCATCATACTGCAACAAATTGTAATGCAGTGTGATTTCGTGCATGCAGGTCTTCAAATGTAATGCAGTACTTTCTATGCCTTGCTTTCCAGTGTGATTTAGTGTATACACTGCTTCGAGTGTGATGCAGTGCTTCCCGTGTGATGAGGTAGGCTGCAATGCTTTTAAACTTTTCAGTGGATACATTACTTTCAGTGTAACACAGTGATCTCCAGTGTGATTCAGTGTAATGCAGTAATCTTCATTGTGATTCAGTGGAATGCAGTGCTTTCAGTGTAACACAGTGATCTCCAGTGTGATTCAGTGTAATGCAGTAATCTTCATTGTGATTCAGTGGAATGCAGTGCTTTCAGTGTAACGCAGTGATCTCCATTGTAAATCAGTGGATGCAGTGCTTTCAGTGTAACGCAGTGATCTCCAGTGTGATTCAGTGGAATGCAGTGATCTTCATTGTGATTCAGTGGATGCAGTGCTTTCAGTGTAACGCAGTGATCTCCATTGTAAATCAGTGGATGCAGTGCTTTCAGTGTAACGCAGTGATCTCCAGTGTGATTCAGTGGAATGCAGTGATCTTCATTGTGATTCAGTGGATGCAGTGCTTTCAGTGTAACGCAGTGATCGCCATTGTGATTCAGTGGATGCAGTGCTTTCAGTGTAACGCAGTGATCGCCATTGTGATTCAGTGGATGCAGTGCTTTCAGTGCTGTGCTATATCCTCCCAAGGTGATGGAGCTTTTTCAGTACAATGCTGTAAGGTTGGCACACTGCTTCCAGTGCGATGGTGTTTTTCCATGTTCTAGTTTGAGTTACAGTGCCCTTAAACCCTATTGTTATATATGTATTTTCTGCTAATACATGCTGGGAGTTGTAGTCCAGGCAAGGACTGGATTGCAGGCTATTCAGCCATTAGCTGCAGGTAGTCGGGTGCTTTTGTTGCTGTCATGAAAGCCACCTAAACAGAAATGTAGCTGACTAATGATGCAATCCATTTTCTGTAGAACAAAAGAAGTGTTTAAGCCAAATGATTGTGTTCTACAACCAGGATGTGGCTTTCTAGACCTTGGTTATTTGACTTGTACAGGGAGTGGCTCAGCCAGATCCTGTTACCTGTCCCGCTCACCGAAGAACATACATCAGCACCTGAATTTGGCGCTTTTTATGGTGAAATGTTTAATTGTATGTATATGTGTACATATATATAGACACAGACAGACACACACACATACATACATACACACACACACGTGTGTGTGTGTCTGCATCTCAGAATAGCATGGGAGTGGATTTCTCAGAAAATGATTGTGTTGGTTTCCTACAAGGTTACAAAACACAACTATTTACAGTGAACCCGTGCAAAGGAACAGGTTTAATTCAATATATTTTCCTTTCCTTTGTCCCCTCACTGCTCTGCTCCGTTACCAGAAGTACCAAATGTAAAGTAAAGAGGGCCATACACTTTACAACCCTCGCAAGACTTTTGTCTTGCGAGGGTTGTAAAGTCATTTAAAAAACGTACAATCTGCCCATCTTGGACAGGCAGATCGTACTTGCGATCATCTGATGATCAGATGACTGCAATGAGGGGCGGGCTTCCGATGACTGCAAACGGGCAGTGTACGCGTGCGCACACTGGCCCATTCGGCAGTTGTCGAACAAGCAGGCCACTAACTCGTCAAGAATCGTACAGTACTCTCATGGTGACCTTTATCTCTGGGATGGAAAGTGAGGGGAAAAAAAAGTAAAGTTTGAGTTGTCACTGGTACAGGAATAAAGGTGAAGTCTTCCAGTGGGGACATTTTGTTGCACTGACAACTGCCTAAGAGGGGATTTAGAGAGAAAAAGTTTTGGCTTTAGATATTTGTCCATTTACGATCAGAGCTGGGAATGTTCACGTCTTGGGCATGCCACAATGCCCCGTGTCCAAACCTGCTCAATGGGGAAGTAGGTGGTCCTAGATTCATTTTACCAGCCTGGCTGGCAGTGCTCCCCTCCCTCCTCCATAGACACAAACATGCAGGTTTTCCTGATCTCACGTTACTACGAGCCAGGCGGGGAGCTGTGTAGGGGGGTCACACACATCTTCCCGCCCAGCTCTTAGCAACCTGGGACTCTCTCTGACTGGCGTCAAGCAAACAGTGACATCACTGGTTGACAGGAGCTGAGCGGGATGCTCTGGTTGGTGTTGCGCCAACAACCTTCCCCACCACAAAAAGGCTGGGGACGCACCTGCCTCCACCTAGGTGAAAAACCAGGAAGTATGGGCCTAGAAAGGAAAAAGATAAAATACCTTTTTGGGGGTGTTAAATGTTATGCTGAAAGTTTCCCTTTAACAAACCCTTATTGATTGTCTGAATGGTGAAGTATCTCTACTGCAGGACACACCAGCCGCATATCTGATATTGTTACAGGACCAGGGGCCAAACGCTCCCGCCCTGCCGGTCCTCTCGGTGCTGCACAAATAACACCCATCTCTTACTTGGGTTAGTGGGGGGAAAAAAAAAAAAGATTGCCCCAGAATGACATCTTCCTCTACCCATTCTGTCATAGCCCTGCGGTGACTATGTGTTATGTGACCACCTGAAAGCGGCTAGTTTCAGTGCCCGAGCTCTGCGCCTTTTGTCTCATAGTCGGTGCTATCGGTAGCCGTGTAGCACCGATGACATGTGTGATTAGGAACCGATTGAACCGCTGCTGGCCGATCACTTTCCTGATCGTCGCTTCTCCATCACCTCCACGTGTCCACTAACAACACAGCGCTGACTTCCGGGTGTCAGCCGGGCACGCCCCTCCTGCTTCTCATTGGCCGGGTGGAATGACGCGTCAACGTTGATTGGCCGTCGTTGACAGTGACGCAATGGGGAACCCTCTGGACTCAGACAGGTGGACAAATGTTATTGTGGCAGAGATCCGCCTGACACCCGGAAACTGGGAGCCCATAGAAACCGCAGAGGGGGGTCAGGTGCTGCTGTTGGTATCATCTTTCTGTATGTGGATCGGTTATATCATGGAGGGGAACTGACACAGACATTGTCCTAGGATCCCTTATTCCCAAGGATGAGAAGACCCCCAGTCTGCAGCTGACTAACAGACCCCCTGGTCGGCAGCTGACAGTCCCCCAGAGATATGCCCCCAGTGCACTTGCCTTGTGCATCACACAGGTGCTACAGGTGAGTCCAAAATGAAGAAGAGATTGTCACCTTTATATGTATGATCAGAATGTCGGTACTAAGAAGTGATGTGACTTCACTACAGCCACCTGACTTGAAGCAAAACTCCTGTCCTTAGTACTGAGGCTTTGATACATCCGGCTGCGTAGTCTGCAGCTGTCTCTGTTTTTAAAGGACTGTTTAAGGTGTTTTAGGATTTGTCCTTAGAAATCTCTGTCATAGGTAATAGACTTGGTTTTCAAAACTGTCCGTATGCACGATAAAATCTCTCCTTTTATTGCGCTTTTATAGTCATCAGATCTGTTTTGGGTGCTTTGTTTATATTTATGTTAATTGTGCGTCAGAATTTATTATTACTACTAGAAGTACTTTTGGTGATCCAACATTAGTTTTGTATAAGGGCTTTTGAGATCAGGATCAATCATACATCAGAACTGGTTATTCAGTATTCGGTGGTCATGTTGGTTGGAGAGTGAGGAGAGGAAGAAGCAGCAGTGTCTAGATTAGTGATTGTCAACTTATGAGGTAAAGGGGGCCCTCAGCTGCTGCCCCTGACAGTGCTAAAGGGCCACACAGTGTATTCAGTATATTTAATGCTACAGAGACTGCCGATATACTAGAAGAGATTGTCAGAGATGGCAGACATACTAAAAGGAATGTTCAGAGACTGCCGATATACTAGAAGAGATGGTCGAAGATGGCAGACATACTAAAAGGAATGATCAGAGACTGCCGATATACTAGAAGAGATGGTCAGAGATGGCAGACATACTAAAAGGAATGATCAGAGACTGCCGATATACTAGAAGAGATGGTCGAAGATGGCAGACATACTAAAAGGAATGATCAGAGACTGCCGATATACTAGAAGAGATGGTCGAAGATGGCAGACATACTAAAAGGAATGATCAGAGACTGCCGATATACTAGAAGAGGTGGCAGACATCCTAAAAGGAATGATCAGAGACTGCCGATATACTAGAAGAGATGGTCAGAGATGGCAGACATACTAAAAGGAATGATCAGAGACTGCCGATATACTAGAAGAGGTGGCAGACATCCTAAAAGGAATGATCAGAGACTGTCGATATACTAGAAGAGATGGCCAGAGATGATAGACATGCTACAGACTTACTAGAAGGGATGGTCAGGGGCTTCTGAACATACTAGAAAAGAAGGTCAGAGACTGCAGATTGACTAGGAAAGATGGTCAGCCTCTGCATACACACTAAAAGGGATGGTCATTGACTGCAGAAATACTAGAAGAGAAGGTTAGAGACCGCTGACCTACTAAAAAAAGATGGTCAGAAACTGAAGACAGAATAGAACGAATTGTCAGAGACTGCCAATATACTAGAAGGTGCAGGAATTGGGGCTGATCTGAGGTGTGAAGGTGCAGGAATTGGGCTGATCTGAGGGGTGAAGGTGCAGGAATTGGGGCTAATCTGAGGGGTGAAGGTGCAGGAATTGGGCTGATCTGAGGTCTACAGTATGCTTGTGTCACCTGAGTCCAGGAAAGTGTGACAATGTGATCACTTCTGTTTGGAAGGTGGTGATGTCACTGGGGTCACATTGCATCTTGTGACATGTAGGTATGGATGGTGTTATAATATAATATCTGGATATTTCTGTTCCAGTAATGTAATAGCAGTTTCCCTTAAAGTAAATGAAACCCCGAAATGAATGTGCCAAAGGGCTGTGTATCATAAACAACTGTCATTTATTTTACCTGTACAGCAGCATGCAACTGGAAGAGTTAGGGGCAACCCTAGGAACCAACCCAGCTCTGCTGCATACACATGTGCTGACCAGGACCATGCTGACAGTATGAGAGAACAGACTGAGCAAATCTGATGACTTAAGGTCCCCACACACCTTACGATAATCGAACGATAATCGCGGGAAATCCCGCGATCGTACGATTATCATAAGGTGTGTGGAAGCCGTGCGACCTCTACTACTGTAAGGTCGCACGACTTTAAACTTACGGACATGTTCGAAAACCCGCCGAGCATCGTACGACGTTCGGCGGCTTTGTGGCATGTCCGTACGATAACAGCCGTACGGGCCGGTGTGCGCAAGCGCACACTGCCCGTTCGGCATTGCGGTCATGGGAAGCCCGCCCCTCAGGGCGTGGCTTTGCGATCATCGCAAGTACGATCTGCCTATGCAAGATAGGCAGATCGTACGTTTTTTTAAGTACCTTACAACCATCGCAAGACAAAAGTCTTGCGATGGTTGTAAGGTGTGTGCCCAGCCTTAGTATGTCGTGCTTTTTCATTGTCCAATTAGGATTATGTGGGCACAAGTGACACCAGTGCATTCCTTACAGAAAGTGGCGACACCCTTCTAGCTGCGCTGTCTGACAAAGGTGTATGAATCGCAAAAGCAGCTGAACAGAATAATTTGCCAGATCAGACACTTCACGTATATACATTTAGTTGCTTGTCTGGAGTTCAGCTTTAAATGTGAAATCTAACCGGCTGCTTAGAGGAGATGATTAAATCCTGTAACATGAAACGTTTAGATTCTAATCTGTGAGGCTCTACGTTCCAGTACAAAGCTCGGCCTGTGAACACTGAATTGATCGCACGCCGCTGGGGGTTCTGCTGGGCCCTCCTGAATGGATCGAATTAATATGCAGCATTCAGCCTAGTGCAAATAATACTCCGTCCCTCCCATGGAAACACTCCCCTGTGAATCAATATTTGCAGAGAACAGGTGGATTTCATGTGTGGCTCTACCTGTGCTCAGGAATGCGCAGACACAGTATACGAGGGGCTCGGCATTGACGAGTATAATCCATGTGTGGAAAGTCAGAAAGAAGAAAATGTCCTTGTCACCCATGTATGAGAATGTCCGAGTGACCAGTTTGTGATCCTCAGTCTCAGGGTTATGTAACTCAGTGCAACCGGGTTCCAGAAAGCTCCTCACTTGTGACCAGAGGAAGCAGACCCACCCTGAAACATGTCTCAGCAGTTGCAGATTGCTAACAATGGTGATGTGGCCAGGTGCGCTATATCTGTGTCTGGGAAAGTAGACCCCCCTGCATGCAAATCAAGGTTTCGTTTGATCCTAAAGTCCCCCATGCGCCCCCGTGTGCATGAGGCCTGAAAGCGGTCCTTCATCCCCTTTCACTTTAAATCGCATTAGCATGCAGCTCTTCATGCTGATATGAAACCATCTTACATCCATTGGTTAAACCTATGTTTCTTTTACTTACAAGTAGGGATGCACCAATACCGGTTTTTCGGCATCAAGTACAAGTACCGCTATTTATATTTCGGTACTCGCCGATACCGGTACTTCCCGTACCATAGAGCCGGCTTCCCGGGCAATCAGGAAGCCAGGCGGCGTGTCATTACCCACCGACCGGCTTCTTGATTGCCTGGGAAGCCGACTCCATTCTGTTTGGCCGGCTCGATGCTAATTGGCCGTGAAGCAAACAGATCTGACAGTATGGTGACACGACCCCCACCATGCAGGCACCTCATTCCCCTCACACATAGATCCTCAGCAGCAGTCATTACCCTACCAGTCCCTCGGCCAGCTGGGCACACACCGCTCTCCCGGATCTGCCCACATCTCTTGTGTGTACAGCGCCCACCTAATTGGCCTTCAGCTTGCTACTGCGCATGCGCAGACTGCCCAGTGCTCTCCTTCATAAATCCTGTGCATGCGCAGTAGCATGCTGAGGGCCGATCACGTGGGCGCTGTACACACAGGAGACGTGGGCAGAGCTTGGAGAGCGGTGTCTGCCCAGCTGGCCGAGGGACTGGTACGGTAATGACTGCTGCTAAGGATCTATGTGAGGGGAATGATTGGTCTGCAGGGTGGGGGTCGTGTCACCATATTATCAGATTTGTTTGCCCGGCTCGACACTGATTGGCTGGGAAGCCGGCTTCCTGGCCAATCAGCATGGAGCCGGCCAATCAGCATGGAGCCAGCTTCCCGGGCTCCATGTTCCCTTGCGGCACTGCCGGTCACAAGAAATCTCCCTCTGACCGGAAGTTCCAGTGTTGGGAAAGGTATCGGAGTACGAGTACTCGCCCAAATACTCAGTATCGGTATCGGTGCATCCCTACTTACAACTATTATTTTCCACTTCCTGGTCCTCTTGGGCATTAGTGATGTAATGTGCCCAAGCGTTGCATCCTGGGAAGGTTACATCAGCAGAGCATTGCTGGGAACTCGCATCTGTAATCTCGTGAGATCTCAGGGAAAGGCATTTTCCTCCCCGGGGATGATGTGCATGGTCACATGTCCTAGTCACATGAGCCAGAGTTCCAGGAAGTAGAGGGAGATCTAGTAATCTGCCCTTAGTTAAAATGGCCGCCGTGAGAAGAATGGGGAGGAAAATAAAAATAATATATGCAAAGAATACATAGCCGGCAATTATCTAGAAGTCTGTGTTTGTAGATTGTCATGACTAAACATTTCTAAAGGTGTCTTTGTTGTTATTTCAAAGATCTGGGTGAAGTTCCTCTTGAAGAGAACCTGTAATCAATGCACATTTCAATAAACGAAGACATTTTAGTCAAAGTGTATCTATAGCCATTGGATAGAGCGGGAAAGGGCTTGGGACCTCTGTGGCCTGCGTATTGCTGACTGTAACCCCGCTGGGAAGATACACCTAGTGGCCATTGATACAGGGACAGTAAGTGATGGGATGTGCAAGGTTTTACAGTTGTCACTGGATAGAGCGCACCACGGCGCATTATGTACTTTGCGGTACTCTTTGGGCCCATTGAAAATAAACGGGCTCTGGACATTCTGGATTTTCCATTTCTGTCCCAATGACATTAGTCACCAAGACTGTTCCAGAAGTGAATCTTCCATGTGGGGACAGAAATAAAAACCTGACAGGGATTCTAATCCTTCCATGATTTATCGAAAACTTTACTTTTCTTTAGTTTTATCTTTACATTTTTTACTTTTGTTTTCACCTGATCCTGTCCAAGGGGGCCACCTTCACTTACTTCCTTTTTCAGGGGCCACCCTAACTCACTTCCTGTGCTAGGGGGCAATCCTCATTTACTTTCTGTCCTAGGTGGGCCATCGTCACTTACTTCCTGTCCTAGAGGGGCCACATCACTTATGTCCTGTCCTAGGGGGCATCCTCATTCACATCCTGTCCTGAGGGGGCATCCTTACTTCCTGTTCTAGGGGAGCCACTCACTTACTTTCTGTTCTAGGGGCGCCACCCTAACTCATATCCTGCCCAAGGGGGCTATCCTGACTTTCTATCCAAGGGGGAGGCATTCTCTCTTATTTTCTGTCCTAGGGGGGCCAACCTCACTTACTTCCTGTTCTAAGGGCGCTACCCTTACTCCCAGTCCTAGGGAGGCAACCTCGCTTCCTGTTCTAGGGGTGCAACCCTCACCTACTTTCCTAGGGTGCAACCCTCTCTTACTTCCTGTCCCAGGTAGGCCACCCTCACTTATTTTCTGTCTTTGTGGGCTACCCAGGGTTGCCACCTTTTGTTCGAGCGAAACCTGAACACTCTAGCGACGCACGGACATTTTTTTGGGAGAATGAGTCGCGGCTTATTTATATGTAAAAAGCACCGCCCATTCGTATGTCAATATCACAGCCGAGCCTACTTTTATTGGGGGGCCACTAGCCCCTCTTAATTTTGGTTGCCCCTGTCTGCCTGACATATTGTGTCTGGGTTTCTGCTTCCATAAAACCCGGACTGTCCGGGTGAATCCTGGACAGGTGGCAACCCTAGGGCTACCCTCACTTTCTGTCCTGGGGGGCCACCCTCACTTACTTCCTGTTCATTTACTTCCTGTCCTAAGGTGACAGCACTCACTACGTTCTATCCTAGGGTGGCCACCCTCACCTTCTGTCATAGGGGAGCCATATTGACTCACTTCCTGTCCAAAGGTGACAACACTTATTCACATTCTCCCCCAGAGTAACAATGCTTACTTACTCTCTTGTATCTATGGACTACATGACCCCCCCATCTTTATAACATGGGGAGGGAGTGTTCTGTAGTCACCAAGGGAGGACCAGGCAGGATTAATCACATTGCTTGAGAAAACTTTACAGAGAGCATCAGCGGATATTTTCTGCACTCATTGAACAGATATAATGGTGAATTTAACACTATAAGGGATCAGATCAGAGAAGCTCGTTGTTGGGTGACATTTCCAGCTGACCATTCATGAATCTGTCCGTGTTCTTTGTGTCTGCTGGGACTGGACAGCTACTAGAAAACCAGTCATGGCACATGACGTCCCTCATCATCCTCCTGTGGGTGACATTGGAATGTGCTGGACGCTGTCATTCATTTTCCTCCCGGGGGGGTGACAATAGCGGGGTCCCCGGTGTCAGCAGCAGGACACCAGGCTGGGTCTTTCCAGGACAGAGACATGGTCACCTCTTGTCCTGTCATGTCATGTGTGTTGCAGCAGTTCTGTGTGTCCGTGTCACGTGACCCCGGCCAGTGCGTTCCATTGTCTGAGATGGCAGCACTAATCCAGCCACTATGTAAACACAGGAGCAGCCAGGCCTGTGACCATTATTTCCTATAGCCACACTTCGGCCCGCCAGCTGTTGTGGAACTACAAGTCCCATGAGGCAGTGCAAGACTCTGACTGCCACAGGCATGACTTCCAGAGGCCTGATGGGATTTGCAGTTTCCTACTGATCTGTTCAACCATAGGGAGCAAACAAAGGAAGCCCTTTGAGCAGAGTTGTCACCTTCGTACAGAACTACAGACCCCTCCTCCCCTTTCTCTATTACATAGGTAACTAACATTTTTAGATCAGCAATGGCAACTCCATTGAGAGGGATGAGAACCCCTGTCAGGTTTTTATTGCTGTCCGTGTCCCCGTTGGGGAGATTCACCCGCTATTTGTCCTGGTGAATGTTCTCATCGAAAGACAAATTCCACATTTTGTGTTGTCACCAGAATAGGAATAGATGTTGGACACTCCAATGGGGACACTCGTTCTGATGAACCTGCTGACCACAGGGGATTTCCTCTCACTTCCTGTTGTGGCTGCCAGACAGGAAGTGAAGGGAAATGTCCCCAATGGGGTACAGATGGTAAAAAAATCTGACGGGTGATAACCCTCCCTTATTCTACTAAAAACCTAAAAAGAAAAAGTTTGGGGTTCAGTTCTATTTTAAGATGGATGAATAGACCGGACTGTCTGCACAGGTCTCCTTTCTTGAATCAGGGGGTCATAAATGAAGTCGTTGCCAAAGTAGCCAATCAGGTTCCACCTTGAAAAATGTTGATTTGTTTGGTGAATCTGCACAGTGTGGTTTCTCTTACACGGCGTCCTTGTGTTTCCTATGTCTTAGTGTGATGCCGGGGCCTCCGTCTCCCTCCCTGAATCCCTTCTGTTTGTGTCCACGCTGGACGGGAGTTTGCACGCGGTCAGTAAGAAGACAGGGGATGTGATGTGGACTCTGAGAGACGGTGAGTCGCCTGTCTATGTACACTTTTTTTTTTTTAAGCCCGTGGAACGTGCATCGTAAACAACTTCCCCCTGTGAACAAAAAAAGTGAACCGTGAAATCACAGCACACAAAAACGTGCACAAGGGTGCTTGGTCCTTCAATAAAGAAGGGACCTCGATTCCCGACCCCCCGGGGCGCAAGGCTCCTGACAGGGGTTGAGACTGTTGGTCCACCAACCCGAAGGCAGGTGGACCCCGATCTTTTGGAGACCTGCCGAAACACGTCCCTCACAGTACTAGGCAGGGGGCTTTCCCGAAGAGAGACCCCCTCCTGGGTGGGATGAGACAGAGAACCCTGTATAAGGGCACAGAATCTCCTCCCCACATCAGGAAAAAGGCCCCCGAAGGAACCTGCACCCGCTGCATCTGTGGGTCAAAATGTAAAATAAAAAAGTGCATATGGTGCAATAAATCAATAAAGAGTGCCAGTGCACCACGCTGACAGGCCTTAGGTGCCGGAGTGCAAAATATTGCTTCAAACTAGCCATAAGGCCTGTCCAAGAGGCGATGTGCAGAAAATAGCAATATGGTGTCGTGTCCAAGTGCTCAGTGAATCACTTGTGGAGTCCCACACCCTAGTGATTATCTGATGCACCCCTGGGACGCCACCCCCAGGGGGCACAACACCACGGGCTTCTGCCACCACAACCCTCCAGCCAGACCAAGCTTCGCATCTGTTCAGTCAGAAAGCCATGTACTGAGCTGTTCCCCTCTCACAGGAAACAGCCCCACACGCTCTTTCACTCCAGCGAGTACTAAGTAACCATCCCCCCGCAAGGACGGTTCTTTTCCCCACCGAAAACTGATAAGAACAGATACTACACTTGATCTTAGCCAAAAGGCCGAGAAGCGATGTCTGTCTATGTACACTTACCTGTGCAAAAATTAAATCTCTATTTCTGTATTGAATTTCCATAAGTTCTATCCCAGATAACCAGATCCATCTAGGACAGTGGTTCTCAACCTGTGGGTCGCTGTGCAAGGTGAGAGTCCTCCTCAGCTCTCTCCTAGCGCAGCAGTGTCAGTTCTCCTGCCACGCCTCGAGATGTCGCTGCAGCAGCTGCGTCATCCCTAAATTTTACCGTTGGGGGTCACCACAACTTGGCAAATGTTACCAAGGGGTCCCGGCCCTAGAAAGGTTGAGAACCACTGATCTAGAAGACTGTAAACTATTGGAGATGCCCATAGGGTGGACTTCCTCAATGCACTGACCCCACTTTCACTTAGCCTTGTGAATATGCACTTCTTCGTGTCCCTGCTCTCACAGAGCCTGCCTTCTGAACTACAACTCATCGTCTGAACAATGTAACCTTATCACTGCTTGCTGGAAGCAATGCATGATGGGCTATATAGTCTTGTGAATTGGAGATTGCATCACATCAAGCAGCAGGGAAAGAGACGATGATAGGTTTACCAACCTCCCTCCTGCTAGTGACATGCTTCAGTAAACCTTAAAGAGCAGGGGTGGGCAAACTCCGGCCTTCCAGCTGTTGTAGAACAACAAATCCCATGATGCATTGCAAGATTCTCACAGCCACAGGCATGACCCGCAGTGACAGATGTATTATGGGATTTGTAGTTTCACCACAGCTGGCAGGCCAGAGTTTGCCCTCCCCTTTTAAAGAAGAGCTTTACCCACCCCTGTCTCCCAGATACATTTAAGGCATGACCACTATCAAGGTTGTCAGTGTGCTTATTTGAGCTTTCAAGCCCTCACATTGCTGGTCACATGGCAACTGCAATCCAAATGGAGGCCGTAATGTAGCCTTTCTTGGCTATATGAGATAGAAGGGTGTAGTTCCGCTTTAAAAAGCCATTCTTTTTTGCCGGTGCAAAGCATCACCTTAGAACCGGATCCATTGGAGATCCTCTGCACTTCGTTCAGCAAAACTGACAACCATTGCAGTGTGGGCGGGGCTCACAGAACATCATACCCAGCTGGCTACGCTCGATCTAATCTCCCTTCATGGGACACATCATAAAAACTGTCACACACAAATAAAACTTGTTTGGCGAGCCGGCTTCGGCCTGCACACGCTGCACCCCTCCCATTGTCTGATTTCCTAGTAACCGAAGATTGGTCATCCTGCTGATTAGACATTGAACATGCAAAGTGCAGAGAAACACAAGGCCTCGCCTATGGAACCCGCCCTGAGGAAATGTGCTGCCGTTGCCCGCAGCAACTAACCAGCTTCCGGCTAGGGTTGCCACCTTTTCTTCAAGCGAAACCCGAACACTCTAGCGTCGAGCTGACATTTTTTAAGGGGGGAGAATGGGTTGCGGCTTATTCATATGTAAATAGCACAGTTGAGACTATTTTCAGTGGGGGGCCAGTAGCCCCAGTCTTCATTTTGGTTGCCCCTGTCTGCCTGACATTATGTGTCCGGGTTTCTGCTGCCATGAAACCTGGACACAGCATTCAAAACCTGGACTGTCCGGGTGAATCCTGGACAGGTGGCAACCCTACTTCCGGCTCCTTTAGGGGATGTATGGCGACTGCTTTTTCGAACATTGGATTGGAAGAGTTTAAAATATCAGCGCGCAATGATTTTTTTTCAGCACAGATGCCTTTTACTGCAGGGGTTAAATGGAAGCTATTAAGATTTAGGGCCAATGTAATTTATTTGTTTAACCCTTTCTCTGCCGCTAACCTATGCCATATGTCGGCAGCAGCAGGGCGCTGTAAGCAGAGCCTATTTACATGTGTAAAGCAGATGATCGGCTTTACACTGGAAGTGATTCATACGGCTGTAAAGCTGTCCCATCACTCCACGGGTTAGCAAACATGCAGTCCCCCCACCCACTCCCCATGCCGTGTTTCCTGCAGAGCCGGGTCCACATTCGCGGGTGTCGGCCCATGCCAGAGGTAGGCAGACTCCAGCTGTTGTGGAACTGCAAGTCCCATGAGGCATTCTCGCAGCCACAGGAATGACTGCCAGAGACAGATACAAATACATGATGAGATTTGTATTTTCAACACAGACGGAGGGCCAGAGTTTGCCCACCTCTGCCCTATGGGATTGCAATAAAGTTAAAGTGACATTAAAGTCAAATTTTTTTCCCCCTCCCCCCAATGTTAATGTCAGCACTTACCTTAAATTATGTCTCATAATCCGATCTTCTTCTTCTTCTTTCCTGATGTTTTCATCTGTCTCTCCAGCGGTGCGGCGGCTCTCCGATCCAGCGCTGACTCCTCTGTCCCTGCAGGCACTTCCGATCCCGCGGCGTCTGCATGCGGGTGCACGCGTCCATAGACTTACCTTGCGTCTCTCCTCGTCTCCCGGCCGAAAATCCGAACTGCGCATGCGCCCCTCCCAAGATGCTTTGCGGCCACCCGAGCAGTTTCGTATTTTCTGACGGGAGCGCGCGGCAAAGACACAGGTAAGTTCAAACTGCTGTTAAAGCGTTTTGTTTTTTTTTGTTTTTTTTTTTAACTTCTTGCATATATCTACTGCTTGCTAGCAGTAGATATGTGCAACAAAAAAAAAACGGAGGCTTTAGAAACCCTTTAAAGGAGAACTATGGGGTAATCTTTTTATCCCATAGTTCTCAATAGGACATATACTGACCTCCTCCCGTGACCCAAAGCTCTGTATATAGAGAGCTATTGCCCGCTATATACTTACATATTTAGTCAGGTTGAAAAAAAAAAACACATGTCCATCGAGTTCAACCTACAGAGATATGAAAAGAAAAAAAAAGCTTAAACTGAATGCTATGTCCACAATTACCCCCTGTTGATCCAGAGGAAGGCAAAACAACCCCCTATAAAGCATATACTGAGAGCGCCGCAACTGGGACGGATACAATGCAGTCGAGATCCACTCAGCTGACTGATTGACAGCGGGCTCTGCCTATCTAGAGGCAGAGCCAGCTGTGCCCGCCCCCTCCCGTTCCTCCACTCAGCGCTGGAGGATCGGAGAGGGAATCCCTAAGGGGAGAGGTGACTGACAGTCACGGCTCTCTGCAGGGAGATGACCGAGAAGTGAGCGAGCGACGGTATGTGTTTGCTCACTTCCCGATCTATAAAGCTGACCTGTGACAGTTTTCATTGCCACACGTCTACTCCAACTATGAGGGTTAGTGGAAAGCACTCACCTCATAGTTCTCTTTGTAAGTAAAAAAAGAAAAAAAAAAGAAAGGTAAATAAATAAAACGTAATGACACCTAAAAATGTATGTAATGCGTTGCCATGCACGCCAGAGAGAGAGCAATAAATCCCGGCCAGAGTGAGCAGCAGGATGGGCTTTATCAGGTTCCTTGTTTGCTTTTTTCAAAGATTGTTGAACCAAAAGATGTTTTCCTTGAGGCAGATTTGTTTTATTCTGCATAATATTCAACCGGCTGCTGGGAAATTACACAAGTACTGTATACTTTCTATTTCAGATCCCGTCATCCAGGTCCCGCTCTACGTCTCCGAGTAAGTATCTCAGTGCGGCAAATGGTAAACCGCCAACTAAGTTGACCAATCCGATTTCTTCTCTAAGAAAATGATTGTGAAACAGGCAATCGCCATTCTTGCTAATGAGGTAGCCGCCTCAATTTTATGTACTCCTGAAATCTGTCTATACGGGTTATTAAATGAGAAGCAATGGCCTAGACCAGGGATGGCCAAACTGCGGCCCTCCAGCTGTGGTGGAACTACGAATCCCATGAGGCTTTGCAAGATTCTCACAGACATGACTCCCGGAGGGAGATGCTTCATGGGATTTGTTGTTTCACCACAGCTGGAGGGCCGGAGTTTGGCCATCCCTGGCCTAGACCAAGGGTAGGCAACCCCTTAACGTTGCAGTCGTGGTAAAACTACAAGTCCCATGCGTAGTGTCACCACAGCTGGAGTGCCAAGGATGCCTGGCCTAGATATACAAGAATATTTCTCATGGAAGTGTTATTTGTGGCCAGCAAAACAATAGCTATCCAGTGGATGACCCCCCCTATATATCAATGAATGTGTTTGTTAATTAGGTAATCCCATAGTTCTCTTTTAAGGTTTCAAAATGAAACCGAGAAGCTGATTGGTTGCCATACACAACTGCTCTGGATTCTGTCGGCTAGGGTTGCCACCTGTCCAGGATTCACCCGGACAGTTCGGGTTTTGAATGCTGTGTTCGGGTTTCATGGCAGCAGAAACCCGGACACAAGATGTCAGGCACACAGGCGAAACCAAAATTAAGATAGGGGCTACTGGCCCCCCACTGAAAATAGTCTCAACTGTGATATTTACATATGAAGGGGTGGCACTATTTACATATGAAAAAGCCGCAAATCATTCTTCCAAGAAAATTTCCGTGTGTCGCTAGAGTGTTCGGGTTTTGATGGAAGAAAAGGTGGCAACCCTACTGTCGGCTCCAGAGTTCCCCCCTTTGTCTGTATATTATCTCTGGTGTCACAGAGAAAAAAAAGCCAGAAACCTAAAATAATGTTAATAGACGTTTTTACAGGACACATTGTGGTATAGTGGACCTCTGAAGAATGAACTGTCTGCAGCACCCCGGAGCAATGAAACCATTTGTAGATTCAGTCTTCCACTGTACACGTGAGCTTACAATTTGATGGGTCGCTATTGGGTATTTTCAATGGTTTTTATGTCAGACAGGAGATACGGCAGCATCTTGTGTGCGTCGGGGTTGGTAATGTTGTATGTACAATGTCGTTGCATGTTCTGACCATGACACTTATCTGTGTTACAGACCCGCTTTCCTGCCGGACCCCAGCGATGGAAGCCTGTACATCCTGGAGGGAAGAAACAAGGAGGGACTCATGGTAAGTTTGTACAGCTTAGAAGTTTTGGTCTGGGCATAGGCGGGGTAGATATTTCCCTTAAAGAAGAACTCCAGGAATTTAAAAAACTTACCCATGCAGTGGGGCTATTGTAAGGGCCAAGTGCTCATTTTGCTTTATTTTACAGTGAACTTTCTTTTTTAATGTTTAATTCCAGGACACAGTTGCTTTAAATGATTTGGAAAGTTATTACAATCTGTTGTTTCAGGACTGTATAAGATAAAATAGCTTTACCTGATCCTTCTTCCTTATCTTGTAGAAATTACCCTTCACCATCCAGGAGTTGGTCCAGTCCTCTCCCTGCCGTAGCTCTGATGGGATCCTGTATACAGGTAATCGGCACATCACAGACATAGAGCGCCACCTGCAGTTAATGATAGTGCATGAGCCAAGTATGTTTCAATCCTTTGTGCTACCATACACAAGTATTGACCAGCACCTCTGTAACATCATGATAATATCCATTTATAATAGAACTTTTTATTAAGAACATTTACTGGCCATAGAAATACATCGGCTTGGATATAAAAGGGGGTATTGCACGATCAGATAGAAATAAACTTTATTAGCTTGTAATAAGAAATCCATATATGGTGCAGCAAATCCGTTACCATGTATTTACAATACAGCATGCCAGCATGATGGATGTCACTGCTCCAAAAACAAGCATGTACAGTACATACTGGAGAGAATTTATCAAAACTGGAGCAGTTGCCTATGGCAACCAATCAGCTTCTCTCTTCAGTTTGTTCAGTTAAGCTCTGAAAATGAACGATGGATGCTAATTGGTTGCCATGCACAGCTGCTTCAGATTTTGTCTGCTCCAGATTGATAATCCCCCCCACACTGTGTTTAGCTAAATAATGTGCAGTGGAATCGAAGTTACTGCTGACAAACAAACAATCAGCCATGCATAAACCTTACACAAAGCACATCAATTTAGTTTCCTGTATGCTAGGTTCAGCAAACATAATGGATTACATTGCTCAAAAACAAAGACTGCATGCACTCTGTATTTAGTAGAATTAACTGCAATGGGCACCTGGGAGTCAAAATTGCTGCTGCCATCAATAAACCATTATGCATAACCCCCACAAGACAAATGACACTATATGATGATCTAACTGGGTCTTTGTTAGTTCTTTGACACAGACCCAGTCGAGTCCTTGACAGTCCTCAGTTGTGTCAGACATGTTGCTGCTTGACTATGGAGATTGTGCCTGATTATTGTTGGCAGCAGCAACTTTGACTCCTGGGTGCCAATTGCATTAAATTCAGCTACGGTCAGAGTCGGCATGCAGTCTGTTTTTGACCAATGTCACCCATTATGGTTGCTGAACATGACATACATGGGACTAAATCAAATTGTCATGACCAGATCCTGAATAAAAGGTACCACACCCCTAATGTATCAAGTCAAAAAGTAAAGAGAGGAGGTGGGGCTTTAACGGTACCAAGTAACAAAGACCAAAAAGAAGCGGCTGTCGAGCTGCGACCTCGTGGACACTGACGGCTCGGAGGTGATTGCGGACTGTGCTCTTCGCGGCTCCCCGTTTGGGGTCTTTTTTGATAACCTTCAGCTTTGGACGGTTGTCCGCTTGTCACCGTTTCCCCACCATGTATTGGGAGGTCCTCTCTGTCCTTGGGCATGCTTTGGCCTTTGCTCTGCTGGCCTGGCCGGGCGCGCACGGATTACTCTCTGAGAGCGATCTCCTCTATCTCCTGAGGAAGCGCTTGGAGCGCGAAACGGGTTGAGAGAGAATCACCATTCCTGATATAAGAAGAGGCATTCGTATACGAGAACATGTTATACCAATTATGTTTGTCATGTCCATCTAGCCTCACATTATAATGTGAATGGAATGGTTACTTGGAGATCAATCTGTTTTTCTTTTTCTGTTTTGTATTGTGCACATATCAATTATGTTTTTAAACCTTTTTAACCTTTGTATAATAAAATACTCTTGTTTTATCATGTGGTCATTTTTGGTCATTGTCACTTGGTACCGAAAAAGCCCCACCTCCTCTCTTTACTTTTTGACTTGATACATGGGACTAAGTTGCTGTGCTTTGTGCTCGGTTTATGCATGGCCCATCAATCCTTGTCAGCAGTGACTCTGATTCCTGGATGCCTCCAGCACTTTACTCAGCTGTACACGCTGCCTACATACTTGTTTATGGAGCGGTGACATCCCTCATGCTGCCGGAATTGTCAAAATATTAAAACTGATTTGTTGCACCTTCTGCAGGTTCCTTATTACAAGCTATTCATGTTTATTTCTACCTGATCGTGCAATACCCCCTTTTAATAAGCTGATGGATTTGTAATGGCCGGGAAATGTTCTTTAGAAGATTTGCGGTGTATTTTATCGAGGTGCTGATCAATATTTATCTCTGTATACAGGAAATCACACCCACAAAAAATAACAATATACAGGGGACAATGCAGCCCGTATAATGGTTTCTAAGACTATTAAAGCAATTTTGATGCTTACTTGAAGTATCTTTAAAAATGACGAGCCTGCAAAGACACAAAGGAATACTTACCTCTCCTGCTGCCCACAACTGTGCTTGGTAATCCACTGCTGGAGAGGCCCACACTTCTGGATGTTGCCATCTTCTGGGTCCCTTCACAGCACTCACTGGTTCCTCCTGCTGACTTCTCCATCATTGTCATGAGTGGAGATCACACAGTTGAAATACATATACATGTTTTTATTTTACCTGCAAAAGGATTTGTGAATGTTTGGCAAATCTTGTAATTCACACGGCTTTGCCATGACGCAGGTGACACACACATTTCCTGGCTCAGCTTTGTATATTTCAGTGCCTGTTAAATAGACAATAGACTGACCTCACCACCTTAATGAGGAAAAAGGGGCCTATGAAGTAGTGAAGCTGAACCAAGAAGTAGGGCTTAGGCTGGGTTCACACCTAGGCGTATCGAATATACGCGTTTCGTGCCGCGCGTTTTTACCGCGATCCGTGGTTAAAAAAAAGCGCGACAAGCGCACGTTTCCGAGGGCTACCTGGCTGTATCCCAATGGATACGTGCGGCAAATACGCCCCAAAGAAGCTCCTTTACTTCTCTGGGCGTAGGGCGTTTTGTAGCAGGTGTGAACATACCCATAGGAAATAATGGGATTTCGGTGTTTGAGCGTTTTGCAGAGTGTAGGAACGCGCTACATAACGCCCAGGTGTGAACAGGGCCTTAGAGCTTCCTGACTGTAGTGTGGCAGAAATGTGCAAAACCATAAGAATGGCTGGACAGAATTGAAAAATCATCTGGCAAATAAAACAGTAACCATTTATTGCAACTGTTATCAGTTTTCCCGGAGTTCCACTTATACCAGCTCAGCGTCTAATATATATTCATGGACCCGGGCTGTTACCACTAAATCTTCTGTGTTTATTCATGAATAAGCTCTGTAATTAGATCCATCTTGGGAACTGATTTTTATAAACGCCGGCTGTTATTTCAGACCTGGATTAGAAGTCTACGTTTATTTCTCTATTAAAGGAGAACTATGGGGTGAGTGTTTTTCCCCATAGTTCTTCTTGGGGTAATGGGAGGACACAAACTAGCGTCCTCCCGTCACCCTAAGCTCAGTATACCGCGAGCTACAGCTTGCGGTATACTGAGACGCCGTACCTGGAGCGGATCCCTACTTAGATGACGGGATCCGCCCAGCTGCGTGAGTGACAGCGTGCTCTGCCTATCTAGAGGCAGAGCCAGCTGTACCCGCCCCCTCCCCCGTCCGTTCCGCCAGTCAGCGCTGGCAGATCGGAGCGGGTAGAGGGGAATCCAGCCCCTCCCTCTGTCACGGCAGAGAGCCGTGACAGGATCGAGAGGTGAGGGTTCCCTCACCTCTCGATCTACTGAGCCGACCTGTGACAGTCTCATTGTCACAGGTCGGCTAGAACTATGACGTGAGTGGAAATCACTCATCTCATAGTTCTCCTTTAAGGGAAAACAAAAGAGTAAATATCCAGGAACATGTTTGTATATAATATACTTTAGGCACTCCTCTCTTGTTTCATTATTACAGTTTGGAGTTTATACAAAGATACTTTATACAATGCTGGATTCCTTCTGCCGTGTACAGGTCATAGATAAAACCAGCTTGTCCAGACCTTCCACTAGCTCATTTCATGACTTCAATATAAGGCCTTGTTAACACCAAATGCAGAGCAGATCCGGTCAGGTTTCTACACACGCACGCTAGTCTTTTAGATGCGTCTTTGATGCGTTTTTAAAAAAAAAAGTTTAAAATGGGCTTTCAGTGCGTTCCAGGCATTTGCATGCGTTTTTGATGCGTTTGCAGATCCAGGGCAGGTAAAAAAGGGCCGCTGCAGTTTTTTCACCTGCTCTGGAACTGCACGCTGCGATGTGAACTGGAGCAAAAAATACCATTGGAATACATTGGACGCAGTTTTGATCCGGTCTGCAACTGATCTGCTCTGCATCTGCTCTGCGCTTGGTGTGAACAAGGCCTAAGAGATACATTTTATGTTCTGACATGGTCATAATATGTGCAAGTGGACCTTTTAGCAGCTGTACAGGTCTACAGGAATACAATTTTAGATGTCTCACAATCTACATCAATATTATAAAAAAAAACATCCTTGAGCCCCAGGAAAGTGACCCTGCCTAGGCTGAGAGGTGCATTCTGGGAGAATGTTGTCACTAGTCTTCTGCAGGCAGGAATTTCGGAGCTTTCTCTCCCCTGGTGATCACTCTGACTGTGCAATGTAGTTTTGTAGAAAGGTGAAAACTGACCTGTGTGCGGCATTGTCAGGTGGAGTACAGTGGTCCCTATGAGAGGTGCATATTAAAGTGACACTAAACTCAGGAGTTAAATCTTAAAAATGCATTCAAGTACCTTTAACTATTAACAAAAATTTATCTTATTTGTGTATCACTCGGCTGTAGATCCTCAAATCATCTCTGAATTAGTGCTGACACTGTCCTTCCTTCTGGAGGGTGGCTACTTTTGTTCCCCATGGTCCCTGTGTGTGTTGTAAAGTAGTCACCGCTCCAAGCTCGCTCCCATGATGGAGCAATCTCAATACTAATCATTATCTGTCCGCTTATCTCCTACTCTGTCCACCTTTAGGCGATCCTTGAAAACTCATCTCTTCAGGGAGGCCTATCCCACCTCCATATAACCATCATTTCCCTTATTTTCAAGGCATGCCTGAAAGTAAAGTGTCAATGTAACAGATTGTAGCCCAGTTTTCTTTTTTTCAGTTCGGAACTAGAAACACAAAAATGGGAAACTTGATTGATCTTTAATGACTCTTCCCAGACCCATTGTTCCTTGTCATTCTTGGTGCAGGTAAGAAGCAGGATTCCTGGTTCGTGGTGGACCCGAAATCTGGAGAGAAGCAGACAACTCTGTCCACAGAGTCATCGGATGGATTGTGCCCGTCGTCCCCTCTGCTGTATATTGGACGCACACGTAAGTTCTACCGATGTAACTTTAGCTGCCTATACATCCACTAAATAGACCTTCATGTATCCGAGTCATACATACAGGGTTAGTGTAGAATTCACCAATCTTGTCTCCCATCAGCCATTCATACATAGGCTCCATTGCTTTCCTTGTTAGTGCCAGGCCATGTGTAAACACCTGTTCTTATGTTACAGAATACATGATCACTATGTATGACACAAAGTCCCGGGAACTGCGCTGGAATGCCACCTTCCATGACTATTCTGCCCCTCTGTGTGACGAGAGCTATGAATACAGTGAGTCCCGGCTAAAAAGCTGGCTGGAGTGGTTTTCTTATTTATTTATTTTATATTGCGGGAAGGTGTTGAGTGCATGTAAGCTGGCAGTTCTGTATGTGGTTATTTTTTATTTTATTTGCTTTTTAAAATGTATATGTGACATGGAAGAGATCCGATGTTTCTTTGGGTGAGCTACCAAATTCTCTTATTTTTTGGCCATAGTTCTCTTTAGGGTCACAGGAGGACATTTACCATGTCCTCCTGTGACCCAAACCTCAGCAAACTGCCCAGCTCAGTTGTCATATATAAAGACACTGCAGACATTTTTAATAATACATCTCTCTTATGTTGGGTGATATTTCTGCCTCTTTTGCAGTCTGTCTTCAGTGTGCACTGCCTCCGCTGCCCTCCCTAGTAACACCTCTGAACCTGGTGCTAGCACAGGCCTTAGTATTAACTGATCTCGGCTATTTGGTTGTTTCTTGTACAGAGATGGCTCACTTCACTTCCACCGGTGATGGGTTACTGGTCACAGCAGACCGGAGTAGCGGGCAAGTGTTGTGGATGCATAATTATGGCTCGCCTGTGGTTGGGCTCTTTTTGTGGCACCAGGATAGTCTGAGACGGATCCCTCATCTCAACGTGGCCACAGAGACCTTGCGCTACTTAACGTTCAACTCTCAGGACATCCTACTGATCAAATGGAATTACAATGCTGTACAGGAGCTGAGCAGCACCAAGACACATCTACTGTGAGTACACTTTACACTGCATTACAACCGCTAGATCAGCACAATCACTTAATGGTTATACTCACTGGTGTTCAACACAGCGCTGTTGTAGGAGAATCTCTGCTTGGGAGTAGCTTGATACTAAATGCTACTAAATTATTTCTTGTATGGAATTGATAGAAGTGTTTTTTGGCCGCCTTTGGTAACTCTTTTCCAGTCTTAAAAATACACCTAAATGAAAACTGAAAGTTAAAGTAAACCTCTGATTTGCCCATGCAGGGAAAAGCATCAGATTCACTTAAAGGAGAACTATGGGGTCAGGGCTTTTCCCCATAGTTCTCCTTAGGGTAACGGGAGGACACAAACTAGCGTCCTCCCGTCACCATAAGCTCAGTATATATAACAATGAGGTGAGTGAAAAGCACTCACCTCATAGTTCTCCTTTAACTGCTGACCTTCCCAGCTGCTCATACTCATTTTCCTTTTCGCTCCACTGACGCTCCATTCAGCCACAAGATGCAAAGAGAGAAAGCTCTGTGTAAGCTTCTGCTGTAAATTTCATCTTGGATCTTAGACAGATCTAGGGACTCTTCTCTCCCCAAGCGACAGTTCTAGGGGCCTGAGGGGCCGGGCGCCAGGCACCAGCACGGCTGCTTCTTTTTTCAGTTTGAATGCTGCAGTGCACGGATTACAGGTCGGTAGATAGAAAGATTAAAGAAGAATTATGGGGAGAGTGAAATTTTCTCATTTGCATGTTCTCCCTGTGCTCGCGTGGGTTTCCTCCGGGTACTCCGCTTTCCTTCCACACTCCAAAGACATGCTGGAAGGTAAATTGGCTCCTGTCTAAATTGGCCCTGTATGTATGCATGTGAGATAGGGACCTTAGATTGTAAGCTCCTTGAGGGCAGGGACTGATGTGAATGTACACTGTGTAAAAGCTCTGCATAAAAAATTGTTGGCGCTATATAAATACCTGTAATAAATAAATAAAATAAATCCCTATAATTAGAGTTGATGTATGACACTGCAGCTGTCACACGTCGGTTCTATTGATCGAGAACTGAGTGATCGCATGCCTCTGTTCGGTTCCCAATCTTCTCCCTGCGCAGGGATTCCCCTCTCTCCATTCCCCCAGCGCTGACTGGAGGAACAAACGGGGGAGAGGCGTGCACACCTTGTTTTGCCTCTAGAGAAGCAGAGCCAGCTTTCAGTCAGGCAGTGGGGTAGATCCCGACAGCAGCGCAGCTCTGTGCTGTCAGCTGGCGGGCAATAGCTTGCTATATGCTGAGGTTTGGGTCACAGGAGGACATAGTAAATGTCCTCCTGTCACCATAAAGAGAACTATGGGCAAAAAAGGCTGGGCCATAGTTCTCTTTTAAAGCCAGACTCCGGGCATAAATAACTACCCATGCATTTGGGTCACCCCCACTACAAGCGTTAAATGCTCATTTGGTCTACGGGGAGATGAGGAGGCTGTATTACTGAGTTTAACCGCAGACCTGGCGGGGTTCATCACTCTCCTCTTCTCCATGGCACTCCGAGCTGTGGGTGGTTCCTCAACACCATCATGTACAAGGTAGGGCTATTGGTCCTGCATTGTATGTGGAGGGGGCAGGGGTTCACTTGCAGCCAAGAGTGCCTTAGAGAGGAGGCATTTGGGGATCAGTTGCAGAAATGGAGAGAGCCTGCTGTAGCAAGGTAAGTATTACCCCTTATCCCTCTACCACTAGACTTAACCAGCATTTAACCCTTGCAGTGTGGGGAGGCCACTGTATGGGTAGTTTTTTCTTATGCCTGGAGTTAGTCTTTGTCAACCATGTTAATTTTTTTTTGTTTGCTGTCTTTGTCTCTGCTGGAAAGATTCATCCCTGTTTATACTAGTGATCATTGTCATCCAAAATTTTGAGTTATCACCAGAACAGGAATAGAAGGGAAGTCTTTCTAAAGGAAAAACAAATTATATATTGTAACAACTGTCCAAAGTAGGCTTTCCATCACATTCCTTTCACTTCTTGATGTGTCTGTTGAACAGGAAGTGAAGGGAAATCTTGTCAATGGAACAAAGATGGCAAAAAAACCTGACAGGTTTAAGAGCTATGTTTACCTTTCTGACCATGTTTTCATGTCACACCCATATTCAGGACATAACATGAAACCTGGTCAGAGCCTTTGACAGGATTGTGAATGGAGAAAATAAAAGCCCCATCAGCCACCACGTCAGAGGGAGCTTGTAGTTCTTATTTATTTATTTCAGGTATTTATATATGACAATTTACGTAGCGCTTTTACATACTGCACGTTCACATCAGTCCCTGCCCTCAAGGAGCTTACAATCTGAAAGTCCCTATTGTATTTGCATGCAGGGCCAATTTAGACAGGAGCCAATTGACCTACTGGCTTGTCTTTGGTGGGAGGAAACCCAGGCAAGCACAGGGAAAACATGCAAAATCCTTGCAGATAGTGTCCAGGCCGGTAAAAGAACCAGGGACCCCTGTGCTGCAAGGCAGAAGTGCTAACTGCTAAGCCACTGTGTTCAATTCTCAATGAAACACAACTGCGGTGATGTCACTGTACTTGCAGCACATTCAATCTCCCTATTTTTTATTTTTTTGCAATAGAGGCAGTAAAGCATTGCAATCATGATCAATGGATCGCGGGTGCAGTCCTCTGGTTCCTGCAGACGTTTTGTCCCCATCTATGTCCGTACCTCAGCACAGACCTTCAGTAACATGAACAGGAGGAAGAGTCTGCAGGAGCCAGAGCATTGCACCCGCGACCCTCTGATCATGGTTGCAATGCTTTACTAGCTCTACTGCAGAAGAATACTAAATGCACATTTTTTCTTTTATGTAGAAATGTCAATTTTTTTCTTCTTCTAAAAGATGGAGTTTCCCTCCAATTTCCTTCTCTATCCAAAATGCATAAAAATGTTTTGGCTTTTAGGTGTGTTTTAAATGTACACATTACAGTATTGGTTTATGTTAAAAAAATCTGAGGGTTTAATGTCACTTTAAGTGAATTGATGGGGGTCTTTGACATTTGCTTAATTTTTAATGTTTAACTCAATTTCCTTTTTATGTCTTTAATGAAAAGTACTGATCACATGCGTTTCTCTGTCTAGGCCATCACTATATGTCGGGAAGCATGCACGCGGATTTTATGCCTCCACCTCTCTGATCCATGAGGGAGTCTCTATTGTGGTGAGAATATTTGCTTTAATGGTCCCTTTAGTGGATGAACAGTAACAAAGCTACAAGGCAGGTGGAAAGACCTTGATTATAAGATATATGGCTGACCACATATAATCATCAAACACCAGGTGCTAGAGAGAGTAAAGCTGGCTTTACATTAATCACATTTTGACTGACTCATTAGCAGGAAAACCCCGTTTGACAAAAACTCAATTATTCAAGCAAGGTGAAAAATTGTTATTCTGGATAGTGACTGCAGCCAGTCAGATACACTCACTGTTCTGGTATTCTGACATGCATGAGTTCTGTCTATCTGAATACAATAGCCATCAGAGAAGATTCCTTCATTCATGGAAGGAAGAAACATGGGTCTACCTCCTCTTAAGAATGCTAGTTGCCTGGCCATCTCTGGCTGCAGTATTTTTTAACTTATCAACCTGCAACAAGCATGCAGATTAGAAAGTTCTGATCTGTTTACTTGTTCCAGGTCTGTGCCTCAAATGTATTGAAGGCTTTGGAGCAACATGACAGCTACACAACTAGCAATTTTTAGAGTTCAGAAATGTCAGCCTTCGTAATCTCTCAGTGGAGGTTTCCTTTAAATTTAGAATGCTTGCAGTGAAATAGTGGTTCTTTCTTTTGGAGATGTTACAATGTGGGGGTTGGTCGCCCTATAGCCCCTACACTACATCGCTATAGTCTGTGAAGGTTCTTACTCATCCAGGTCATGCTATATCTGCAAAAACTAAATCAAGGCAACTGGACTTGCTGTATTTTTCTTCAAGACATTTCGCTGATCATCCAACCAGCTTTCTCAATTCAGAAGTGAATTCTGAATTGAGAAAGCTAGTCAGATGACCATCATTTCAATGGTCTTCAAGAAAAATACAGCAAGTCCAGTTGTCCTGATTTATATTTTGAAGAAATACATCACTATTGATTGCAGTACTCGAACTGGTCACTTGTAAAAAATCCTACGGTCAGCTTAAGTTGTTGCAAGGATAGTAAAAATAGTAATAAGGACCTTTAAACATGGGAGCACATTTCAAGAGAAGAAGTCTTGTCATGTGATCTCCTCTAAATATGGGTTTCTCTTCTGTCACATGATCTAGCCACGCGGAATCACCTTGGCACGGATAGAGGGTCCCACCACCCAGGATGTCACACTGGAGAAATCCACAGAATTTGATGTGACACCCAGCACAGACGTCAAATACCCACAAGGTGGCGTGGTGTCTGCCAGCCAGTGGTTGCTGATAGGTAAGAGGGTGGGAGAGACCAATTAGTGGGAACTGAGCTATCACAACATTGTTATAGTTACATTTCCAAATGTCTGCCTGTTTAGGAACTCAGTGGTTTTGGGAGGCTGCTGCAGGTTAGTGCGCCTGTAGGTTCTTGCATATCGTACCTGAAGCAGTTCTTCCCCTTCTCCCCAGTGGTAGAGTATTTAAAATGTCAATGAGCAATTGCCCTTTATGTAAGCTAAATAATGAGCTAAATAAAAAACAATTATATATACAATGCAGTCTGTCACTAGCATTAAAGCAGCATTTTTTCTGACTCCCTCCCTAAAGCTGGCCATACACCTATAGATGATCTGCAGATGTTCTATGGCCAGATGTAAAATGTGCAACAGATTCCTCCATCTACGCTAAACTGTGCTGATGGAGGAATCTCCCGCTGGGCCAAGCTTCAGTATCTTGCTAGTCGGCCCCGCTGGCTCTCAGAATACCTGAACAATGCCTGCATCCAATCAGATTGTTCCGGTATTCTGAGAGCCAGCGGGGCCGACTAGCAAGATACTGAAGCTTGGCCCAGCGGGAGATTCCTCCATCCACACAGTTTAGCGTAGACGGAGGAATCTGTTGCACTTTGACCATAGAAAATCTGCAGATAATCTATAGGTGTATGGCCAGCTTTACATAGTTTTACTACCTGTTGATCCTGCTTGTTGCAGCTCACCAATCCTTAGATTCCTTTATTTTCACCTGTGGATCCTGCCAGTAACACTTCCTGTCCTAGGGTGGCTCCATTCTATGGAGGAGCAGAGGAGCCACTCTTGGACAGCAGCATTGTCACCTTATGGGGATGCTAGTAGTAGAGGACTTGAGTAACAAATTAAAGCCGGACTCCACCTAAAAATGTTTAAATAGTTACATCTTTTTTATTTGGTTTAAATCCATGAATTGGTGAATATAAGCACGTTTGGCAGGGCATGATAGTTTGTCAGAACCCTAACTGTCACTTTTGCTTCGTATGCATGTAAATAAGGAGAGAGCTATAAATAGAGACATGTGAAGGAAAAAAAAGGGATTCATATAATGAATGCTATCATTACAGGGGTTGACAACATACATTTACAAAATTACAATATTCTTGCTTATAGTGGGCTTTTATGTATATAAAAATTAAACTTTTTTTGTTGCTGTCCCGTTTTCAAAGATTCACCTGTGTATTAGTAGTGGTGACCATGGTCACCGGGACAGAAAGTAGAGGAAAATACAGAATTTTAGACTTGTCACCAGAAGAAGAGGTGGGGAAATCTTCCAATGGGGCACACCTGTGCCAGTGACAACAGTGTAGGAGGGGAATTCCCCTCGCTTTGTTGTGTCTCTGTGACAGAAAGTAGAGGAAAATCTCTGCAACAGTTTTAGCAAAAAATAACCCAACAGGGTTTTAAACCCTTCCCTGCTTTATCCAAAACTGGAGAAAAAAAATGTTTTGGCTATGCACACACTTTAAGTTATTTTATACTGAAGGAGAACTATGAGGCGAGTGAAAACCACCCAGCCTCATAGTTCTAGCCTACCTGTGACAATGAAAGTGTCACAGGTCGGCTCAATAGATCGGGAAGTGAGCGAACACATACCGACGCTCGCTCACTTCTCGATCTATCCCTGCAGAGAGCCGTGACTGTCACTCACGGCTCCCTGCAGGGATTCCCCCCCTCCCAGCTCCGATCCTCCAGCGCTGACTGGCGGAATGGACGGGGGAGGATACAGCTGGGTCTGCCTCTAGATAGACAGAGCCAGCTGTCAATCACGCAGCTGGGCGGATCTCAACAGTGATGTAGAGATCCATCCTTGCTGCAGCGTCTCAGTATACCGCAAGCTGTAGCTCGCGATATACTGAACTTTGGGTGACGGGAGGACGCTAGTTTGTGTCCTCCCGTTACCCTTGGGAGAACTATGGGGAAAAGCCCTGACCCCATAGTTCTCCTTTTAAGTCTTTTCACATTTTCCTCCCTCGGCTATTGTCTCTCCCAATACTATCATATACAGCCATTGAATAACATTGACATGTTTCTATCCCCAGGTCACCATGAGGTGCCGCATGTTGTTCATACCACCATGTTGCGAGCATTTCCGGAGACTCTGCAGAGAGGCACAGAGTCCGTCATCCGAGGCCCGGCACAGAGGACTTTGTTTGATGATGTATGATTTTTTTTGCTAAAGAACATTAATGATGGCTTACCCACAATTTCAGTATTATAGGGAGAAAAACCTAATGAGTAATGGGGATCCTAATTTATAATTTAAAAAAAGTATTTTCATATGGTAAAATCAAAGTTAAAATGTTTGTCAAGAGTCAATCTTTGAAAGTATATGTGAAGCTAAAACTTTTCACAGTCTTAGATAGCGTGTGGAAGACTTAGGACCTCTTTTAGGTTTTCATTGCTGTCTGAGGAGATTTACCCTGACTATTGGTGCTGGCGACCATTGTCTCTAGTATAGAAGGTGAGGGGAAATTTATACTTTTAGAGTTATTATTATAATACCGGATTTGTATAGCGCCAACAGTTTGCACAGCACTTTACAATATAAGGAAGACATTACAATTACAATACAATTCAAGACAAGATGGTATGGAGAGCCCTGCCCCTGAGGGCTTACAATCTAAAAGGGAGTTATCACAGGAACTGGAGGTGAGGAGAAATCTCACAATGGGGACACCTTATCTGGTGACAAGACCCTAGGAGGGGAATTCCCCTTACTTTGGGGGAGATTTTCTCTAGCATACAAGTAATCTAGAGTTGTCCCCCACAATACTTCTATTCTGCACACAAGATTATGTGCTAAATGTTGCTGGAAGTCTTTCAACCTGGAAGACTGAGGACATACTTTGATTGACTGGGTGTCATGGCCCCACTCCTAAGAGGGCATCAGCATAGCTCTCTTTATTTGTAGTGTATTGAAGCAGAGAGCAGCAATGAGGTCATTATGTTTGGGCCGGAGAATAAACTAAATAGAGAAATAGAGAAATGCACAGCACAGTGGAAGACTCCTCATTCTGTAGAAGGTCCATAGTAGAACATTCTTGGGGCTGATCTGTAAAATCTAGAGGGCTGCCCATAGAAACATACCAAATTCCAGCTCTTATATGTGTTGTTCGTTAGGAAATGAACATCTTAGCCTTTTGTAGCCTTTCTTGATGGCTGAAATGTCTGTTAATTGACAGTCCCATTCCTTATCGCCCTTTCTTATCCTCTTATTCAGTTTCTGACACTGCAGAATCAAGATGGGGTTCCCCAGGGTGACACAGAAGGCCGGTTGAAAATGGAAAGCAACAAAGAAGAAGCCGGAATTGTGCTGCCTGACTCCTCAATTACTAATCTGCTTATCATGGGAATTGTGACGCTACTTCTGGGAGGATGGGTGCTCTTTGGCCTCACGTACCCAAAGGTAAGTGGATGGCAACTCGTTTGTACCTGTTTAAATGTGGCCATTTTGCCCACTGGTTGGCCCATCTTATTATTATACATAAGCAGCTCGTCATTGGAAACATTAATACTTAACATTTTATCTGGAACAGATGCAGGAGCAGCAGCGCCTGCAGCAACTACAATTACAGCAGCAACTTGAAGAGAAGCTATTGCGTTTTCAACAACAGCAAAACATGACCACTGAGGTTGCTCTATCCCTTTCTGCTGGAGAGACCACAGTGCTGTCTGGAGAGCAGAGGACTGGAAGCAGCAAGAGGCAGAGCGGGGACCTGGAGCAGAGCCCAGTCAATGGAACAAAGCGTCTGAGCAGAGATGATGGAGAGGCAGAAGGTGAGAGAGGGAAGAGCTCCCTAGTCATGGACCAATACAGAAGAGTCTCCGTATTTCTCCTGTCCATTGAACTGGATGATATGTATGGACAGCATAAAATCCATGAGCATGACTGAGTTGAGTTCGTGGAGAATGCTGCGCAGGCATTTTCTCCAATAATTGGTTCCATCACCCCTCCATTAAGGAAGGTTCTGCTCATTTACAGAACCTTGATCCCTAATAATTTGTTTATTCTGCCTGTTGGTGATTCTATAAGGGAAGCAGACACCATCATCTGTATATGGAATGACTACAGCAGCTTTGTGGAGACTAGGAATAATAGATGACCCAAAAGAAATGAAAACTTGGCACCCGATTCAAATCGCAGCGAGTTGTGAATTTGGGTTATGCTTGATGGAGTTTAAAGAGTGACAGGTTCTCTTGATAGGTAACACTCACAGAGGCTTTCCTTCCCTGCTCTCTTCCACCAACCTGTTCTCCTGTAGGTGGGCTAAGTCTATTTCCCATGGAGTCTCCGTCTTCATCAGTGTCTGAGCTTACACAGGCTTAGTGACCATCTGCCCTCCCCCAGGTGACCGTGTTTGATCCTGGCGAATGGCCACTCAGGTCCATGCATTGCACCCTGGGAGAAAGGAGAGAAGGTCACATGCTCCTTCTTTACCCAGAAGTACTGGTATTGTTTCAGTTTGTACAATCATGTCATTTAACTTCTACAATATTTCTCTGATGCTGAACCTTGATATTGCAGGTCAAGATGAGGAGGATATACAGGTGGGGAAAATCTCCTTTTCTCCAAAGGAAGTTTTGGGTCATGGAGCCGGAGGAACGTTTGTGTTCAGGTAAACGGCCTCCGTACCAGGTGAATGCTTAGTGCCTGGGATTCTGGAATTCTGCATGTCAGTAAAATGGGTGCCTTGGTTTGCAGGGGCAGATTTGATGACCGCCCTGTAGCAGTGAAGAGAATTCTGCCAGAGAGTTTTACGCTTGCCGATCGAGAGGTTCAACTACTGCGAGAATCTGATGAACACCCGAACGTCATCCGCTATTACTGCACAGAGAGCGACAAGCTGTTCTATTATATCGCTTTAGAGCTGTGTGCAGCCACTTTGCAAGAGGTGAGAGCACATCCTTGGGAATGACGAGATGGTGTACGGTGACACTACTGAGCAGAGGTGATGTGAAAGGATTGGGAAGATGAGGCACGGTTCTTAGAACATGGAAGATACGGCTATGGCAGGGACAGAACACAGCGGTTGGAACAAAGCAGTTGGAATTGGCCAATCTTCATTTATCATAGTGTCATAATTAAACCCCTGTAAGATGCTGATAGCAACCAGTAATATCCTTTGTTTTTGCATTGTTGGTTTGAAATTTAAAGGAATAGTTAATTGTAATCCTAACACTAATACTCCCTGTAATTCTAAAACTAACCCTCTCTAAAACTAACCCTGTATCCCTAACACTAACCCTCCCTGTAATTCTAAAAATAATCCTTTTCTATAATCCTAACCCCTAATCCTAACCTAATTGTCCCTGTGACCCTAACACTAACCCTCTCTGTACTTTCTAAAACTAACTATCCCTGTAATCTGAACATTAACTCTGTACCCCTAACCCTGCCTGTAGATCTAAAAGTAACCCTCTCTGCAATCCTAACCCTAATCCTCCTTTTAACCCTAAAACCAATGCTCTTTAAAAGCCTGAAACTAACCCTCTCTGTAATGCTAACACTAAACTGCCATGTAACCCCAACACTGATCCTCCCTACAACCCTGAAACTAACCCTTTCTGTAATGCTAACACTAAACTGCCATGTAACCCCAACACTGATCCTCCCTACAACCCTGAAACTAACCCTTTCTGTAATGCTAACACTAAACTGCCATGTAACCCCAACACTGATCCTCCCTACAACCCTGAAACTAACCCTTTCTGTAATGCTAACACTAAACTGCCATGTAACCCCAACACTGATCCTCCCTACAACCCTGAAACTAACCCTTTCTGTAATGCTAACACTAAACTGCCATGTAACCCCAACACTGATCCTCCCTACAACCCTGAAACTAACCTTTTCTGTAACCATATGTAAGGACTTACCTGCTTCGGGCCGCAGGCACAGCCAGCATGTCATGTCCATGAGCCTGCCGCTGCTTCGGGTCCCACGCCGTCCGGCATTGAGCAGGGATGACAGCAGGGATCTTCCTGTTGTGAGCTTAGCTGTTGTGGAAGCTCAGCAGAGCTCAGTAGGTCCTGTAAGGCCTCTGGCACCCCCTGCTGCTGACAACAGTGTAGTGTTAGGGAAATGTGCACACACTGTGTATGCTCTTGAAGACAAAGTGCATAATAGTGAAGCCAATGCCTCCTCCTGTGACATCACAGAAGCATCTGTGCCTATAAATACCAACTTCCTCTACAAAATGGCGCTTGGTTATTGCAGAGCTTTCCCTCTAGTAGTCCCTAGCCTTCGTTACCTACCTTTCCTATGACTTTCTGGTATTTTGACCCCTGGCCTTGTTACTCGACCTCGATTGTATTGCTGCCTGCCCTGATCTGCTATTACGTTTGGACTACTTTGCCTGCCGATTCCCTGCCTATCCTGGTTGCCACTATTCCTAGGAGAGCGTATAACATTCCTGCTACTTGGATAGGAGCACCGTAGTACGGGTGGCATGACGCATACAGACTCCTGCCTCTAACCCGCTGACACCATAACACAAATGCTTCCCTGTAACCCTAACACTAACCTTCACTGTAACTCCAACCCTAACACTTATCCTTCCTATAACCTTGAAACTAACCCTCTCTGTTACCTTAACACTAACCTTCCCTGTAACCCTAACACTGATCCTCCCAATAACACTGAAACTAACCCTCTCTGTAACCTTAACACTAACCTTCCCTGTAACCCTCCCACTAATGCACCCTGTAACCCTAACCTTCCCTGTAACCCTAACACTGATCCTCCCTAAAACACTGAAACTAATCTTCCCTGTAACCCTAACGCCAATCCTCCCTATAATAGTGAAACTAACCCTCTCTGTAACCTTAACACTAACCTTCCCTGTAACCCTAACACCGATCCTCCCTATAACACTGAGACTAACCCTCTCTGTAACCCTCCCACTAATGCACCCTGTAACCCTAACCCTAACCTTCCCTGTAACCCTAACACTGATCCTCCCTAAAACACTGAAACTAATCTTCCCTGTAACCCTAACGCCAATCCTCCCTATAATAGTGAAACTAACCCTCTCTGTAACCTTAACACTAACCTTCCCTGTAACCCTCCCACTAATGCTCCCTGTAACCCTAACGCTAACCTTTCCTGTAACCCTAACACTGATCCTCCATATAACACTGAAACTAACCCTCTCTGTAACCTTAACACTAACCTTCCCTGTAACCCTCCCACTAATGCTCCCTGTAACCCTAACGCTAACCTTTCTTGTAACCCTAACACTGATCCTCCCTATAACACTGAAACTGATCCTCCCTATAACACTGAAACTAACCCTCTCTGTAACCTTAACACTAACCTTCCCTGTAACCCTCCCACTAATGCTCCCTGTAACCCTAACGCTAACCTTTCCTGTAACCCTAACACTGATCCTCCCTACAACACTGAAACTAACCCTGTCTATAACCTTAACACTAATCTTCCCTGTAACCCTCCCACTAATGCTCCCTGTAACCCTAACGTTAACCTTTCCTGTAACCCTAACACTAATCCTCACTGTAACCCTTGCACTAACCCCCCTATGTAACCCTATCCCTAACACCAAATCGTCCCTATAACCCTGAAACTAACCCTCCCTGTAACCCTAACACTGACTTTCCTTATGTAAACTTAACAATGCGTTGCATACTCGGCTCTCCTGCGCCAAAGACTTTCCTGTGCTGTACACAGTATTTGTTAATATGACGGTGATTGGACCTGCAGAAGGACAAGCACAGGAGCCTGATGGTTTTATGCTATTGGAAACCAGTGACGTTTTTTGTTGCTGTGGCTGCCATATTGAAAGCTGCTCTATTCCTTGGAGACAATTGATGAGATGGGATGACAGGGCTTGTATGGTACAATTCATTTAACCATGCCATATGCTTTTTTGCCTACAGTACGTGGAGAACCCGGACTTCCATTGCGGTGGCTTAGATAACGTCACCGTCCTGTTCCAGGCCATGTCAGGGCTGGCTCATTTACACTCTCTGAACATTGGTGAGGACTGCTTGATCATCTGCTTTTGGTTACAATTTATGTGGAACCCAAAGCCTTGTAGGAGAGCATTTCAGAAATGTACAGCCAAGTTACATCGCCCCTTGTATGTTATTAAAAAGCAACTGCACGCTATAGGAATTTCTCTGTTTTAGATCTAGGATTCAGGATTTGGTTTGATTCTCTGTTGGGTCATTGACTGCTGTCTACTAGTGGTCTTATCCCACCCTGGCCCGGATTCCCCACAAGGCCACCGAGACCCGGCAGTAGGGCGCCGAGGGGCGACAGCGGTGTCCTTGTGGGGAAGTTGCCCTCTCTACATTCAGTCCTGCTTTGTACAAGCCGCACTAAATGTAGAGTGAGGCAGGCGATTTTTCGTTTACATGTGAACTCGGCGATGTCGCCGAGATCACATGTAAACAGTGTGCAGCCGGCCGGTCCGTCCTCCCCTCTCCCCTGCACTTACCTCTCTCCTCTGGTTCCGTCCTCCGCCGCCGAGTCTCTCCCCACTGCAGTGAGCAGAGCGGCAGGGTTACTCTCCGTGTAGACAGTGAGAGGGGAGAGCTGTGCTCTTCCTCTCTCACCTGTCACAGGAGTTCTAGCACAGTGCTGTGCTAGAACTCCTGTATTTGAGGTGGCAGGGTCAATAAAGAGAACCTGTCACCTCCAATTGCTATCACACAGGGGATTGTTTTCTCCTGTGTGATAGCAATAAAGTTAGGGGGCGCATCGCAGAACCTGGCCTTGGGGCGGCAGGGAGAGTAAATCCAGCCCTGAACCCACCCCTGACGCATTTATGACAGGTCCTACTTGGTGTTAGGTTAAGTTAATGTTACAACTGTCTTAAGTGCCCATTAAATATGCAGACTCTTCTTCCTGCTCAACAGTGCTGCACAGTGTCAGTGCTTTACTGTTCCTCTAGCTCAGTGCCTACAGTATGTGGAGAACCCCGACTTCTATTGCAGTGGCTTAGATAATGTGACTGTCCTGTTCCAGGCCATGTCAGGAGTGACTGACTACAAAAAATGAAAGCAGGGAATGTTAATTACTTTCCCTGGCAAATAGATGGCTGTCAGAGGAAGCATTAACTTGTCTTTGTATAAGCACAGTTATTAAAATATGGAACAGCAAGCAAGTAAACATGGGAAAGTCACCTCCAAAATTACGAGCAGTAAAATGTACAAAATAAGGCGATACTATAATGCAGTATTGGTTCCCTTTAACTGCAACTTGGAGAGTCACTGAGGAACATCTTCACAGTATTGAGTGGCTTATCCTGTAAATGACTGTCCTGCGGGAGTCATTCAGCAAAAATGCTAATTGCTCTAACATACACATAGCCAAAAAGGGGGCTCATGTACAAAACGTTTTATAAAGTACAAGTATTTGTAAAACAAAAAGTTACTCGGAAATTACAGCATAGCCAGCATACCTCGTCTCAAAGTATCACCCTAACCACCCCCTCCGCTCTTCCAAAGACCTCCTGCTTTCTAGCTCCCTCCCATGCTCGCCTTCAGGACCTCTCTAGAGTCTATCCCATCCTCTGGAATGCCTTACCCCAACCTGTCCGTCTATCTCCTACTCTAACTGCCTTTAGGTCATCCCTAAAGACTCATCTCTTCAGGGAAGCCTATCCCGCCTCAACCTAACCGCTCACCCATCACGTAAAACAATTCATCCCCACACAGCTACCCCCTCATGTATCACTTCCCCCTCCCTTTTTGATTGTAAGCTCTCACGGGCAGGGCCCTCCATACCATCTTGTCTTGAATTGTAATGTCTTCCCTATATTGTAAAGCGCTGCGCAAAATGTTGGCGCCATATAAATCTTGTATAAGAATAATATCATTAGTGAATTAGTGGTAGATGCAGTAATGACTAGGTAACTGATTGGCAGTAATTGAACTTTCTGGTGTGTTTGCTTGTTGCAGTGCACAGAGATCTGAAACCGTGCAATATCCTCATCTCCCTACCCAACGCCCAGGGAAGACAGAGGGCCGTCATCTCGGACTTTGGCCTATGCAAAAAGCTGGGAATGGGGAGAAGTAGTTTCAGCTTGCGCTCCGGTATCCCCGGAACTGAGGGCTGGATCGCACCGGAGGTTCTATGTGATGGGGAAAAGCAGAACCCGGTAAGTATTTATCAGTACAGAAAGACGATTGTTCTAAAGAGAGACGTGGCTTGAGGTGGAGCTCTAGCCAAAACTAGATGTGCACCGAAATGGAAATTTTAAAACCGAAACGAAACCGAAATAAAAAAAATTGTCAGGCCGAAACCGATACCGAAAATGTTTTTTTTTAATTTTAATTTTTTTAAAAATCTTTTTAATATTTTTTTTTTATAAACTTCTTTTTTTTATTTTGTATTTATTAATTCATTTTTTTATTTTGTATTTATTAATTCATTTTTTATTAAATATTTGTATTTTTTACATTGCTTTTAGGGGCTTTGGGGAAATATTGGGGGTCTAAACAGACCCCTGATGTTTCCCTTTTAAAATAGAAAAAGAGATTTAGGACACAAAGTCCTCCTGTCTCTTTTTCTGTATCCCCTGTTATCAATGAACAGGAATGAGTGTTCCTGTTCATTGTTCCTGTCCATTGATAACATGAGGACATGGTATGTTTACTATACCTACAACTATGAATGAACATGAGGTGATGCAGATCACTCCCATTCATGCATAATTGAGGATATAGTACACATACTTTGTCCTCAATTATGTACAAACACTCAGCAATCACTGATCTCTGAGTGTTTGTGCTCGCTCTCCTCTCTGACACGCTGTCACAGGAGGCTGAGCGAGCGTTGCAGGGAGGTGAGCTCAGCCTCCTGTGACAGCGCTGGCTGTCTCCACCCACACACCGCTCTGCCGGACTGTGATAGGAGGCTAAGCGGTGTGGGAGGAGAGCTCAGCCTCCTGTGACAGCGCTGGCTGTCTCCACCCACACACCGCTCTGCCGGACTGTGATAGGTGGCTGAGCGCTGTGGGAGGAGAGACGCCGGCCGCTCACAGCGCTCTCGTCCTGCAGCGCTCGGCCGGCTGTCTCTTTCTTTTCTCCCCGCTGGAACACAGAGCAGCGCACAGCGGGGAGGAAAGAAACCAGGGATGCGCCGATGTATCGGCCGAAACATGGCTCTCTCGGCATTATGCCAAAAGTGCCATTTTTGTCCGATATGTTTCGGCGGCCGATATATCGGTGCATCCCTAGCCAAAACCATTTTTGATTGTTCTAGATAGAGTGGGGAAACAGAAGAACTTCGGCAGGTTTTATTGGTGTCTGTAAATCACCTCACTTCCTGTCCCAGAGAAACAACAGGAAGTGAGGAGCGATCCCACCTCTGATAGACATCAGCGGAGCATGTGTCCCCTTGGGAGATTTCCTATTTATATTTAGATGACAACTGAAGTGTAGGCTTTCTTCTTTCTTTATGTTCAGGTGAAAATAGTCATGAGGACAGAAAGTGAAAATGAATCTCCTGAAAAACCTGACAGTAGTTCTAACCCTTCTACACACTTCCTAAAACTAGGATAGGTTTTGACCACTTTAATAAGTTGAGCTATTTTTGTTCCCTATGGTCCCTGTGTGTGTTGCAGTGGCATCACAAGGGGAGTGCGGTCCGCACCCGGGTACCACCATTGGAGGGGTGACACCAAAATGACACTCATTTTGGTGTCACCCCCTCTGAAAAGTCGGGCACTCGGTCATTGACTGAGAGCCCGACCGTGTCAGAAAAGAGAGGGGAATGTCCCCTCCTCTCTCTGCCGGCGTCCATCACCAAATTGGCCCCCGGCAGGAGTCAATAAGATGACCGCGCATGCGCGATGACATCACGGCTGGGTGTCACCCGTTCTCCACTCCAGGTGTCACCCGGCCTCGGGACGCCGCTGGTGTGTTGTACAGTAGTCACCCCTCCAAGATCACTCCTGTGATGGACTACAATCTCAATACACATGGGTAAACTAAACATGAGATTGTAGTCCATCACAGGAGCGAGCTTGGAGCAGTGACTACTTTACAACATGCACAGGGACCATGGGGAACAAAAGTAGCCACCCTCCAGAAGGAAGGACAGTGTCGGCATGAATTCAGAGATGATTTGAGGATCTACTGCCGAGTGATACACAAATAAGATACATTTTTGTTACTAGTTATGGTACCTGAATGTATTTTTAAGATTTACCTCCTGAGTTTAGTGTCACTTTAAAGGAAACCCCTAACCTTCAAGGAAAAGTCTCATCTTTTAATTCTGCTTTGCTCATAAGTGGTTGGAATGTGGCCACTGTGGGCTACACAAATACTTTCCTTTAGCCATTAAAGTATCACACAAGTTTTTTTTTTCTTCTCCCAGACCTCAGCGGTGGACATATTCTCTGCCGGTTGCGTATTTTATTACGTCCTAGCACGTGGGAAGCACCCATTTGGTGACAGCCTCAGAAGACAAGGAAATATACTAAACGGGTCATACCAACTACCACATTTGGAGGAGGAGACACACGGTAAGACACATAAAGATATGAGCAGGGTTGTAGGAAGATCTGCTCTTGTAGAAGAGAGAACCGGATTGGTTCATTTTAGTAATAAGAACAGGTCTAACTTGAGACACTTTAATATTAAAACGCCCAATGAATGGAGGTTACTCTGACTAATCGGTGTGTATTTTGTCTTGGATGACAGAAAATGTAGTCGCACGTGATCTCATCGAGGAGATGATCAGCAGTGGCCCCAAGCTCCGGCCTTCCGCTCCCTGCGTTCTGAGACATCCATTCTTCTGGTCCCGAGAGAAACAACTACAGTTCTTTCAGGTCTGAAGAGTTAATTGCCTTAAAGCTGAAGACTAATCTGCTTCCCTGGTACCCTTCTTCCCTCTCCTTTTGCTCCATTTAGCCATCTGGAGCAAAGAAAAGGCCAAGGACTTCCAGGCATGGAGGAGCATGTGACCTAATCCATCTAATGGTGCTGGTGCTGGGTGATTGGCCCAGCACTGACAAATGGGGTTGGTGAGAGTCCTTAAACCCTTGTAACCTTCAGCTAGAGAGACTCTGAGCTTGTACAGGGCTGTCTTTCCTCGCTCCCACAGGTTGAATAGAGTGATGGAAGAGTTAAAGCAGAACTGAAGGCAAAACTTTTTTTTATTTTGGATAGAGTAAACGGAGGCTATAACCCAGTCAGCTTTTTTTTTCTTTCCATTGGGGTGATTTCCCTTTACTTCCTGTTCGATAGCCGCAACAGGAAGTGAGAGGTGATCCCTCCAAAGTGAAGGAAATCCCTGGTGGTCTGCAGGGTCACCAGGACTATTGGAAGATTTCCTATCTATTCCTGTTCCAGTGACAACCGAAAAATTGGGATTTTCTTTCCTTTCAATGCTGATGATCACCAGGACAAATAGAGAGGGTGAATCTCCCTGACGGGGACCCAGACAGCAATACAAACCTGACAGGGGTTTTAAGTTTTGGCTTCAGGAATGCTTCATCCGTTCTACTGGGGAAGAGGTCATTAAAGTGCCCACGGGCAGAGCACAATCTAACTTTAAAATGGCCAAGCCTCACAAAGAAGGGATTACAGGGCCACATACAACACAGAATACAAGCTTGCCCTACAGGAAGTAGGTGATGAATGCAGTTTAAAATGTTTCTGGTTTAAAATGAATACCAGTTTAATGAACAGTAGAAAGGCATCATGGCACTTTGTTTTGCTTTACCAGTTTAATGAGTTGCTCAGAGACCAAAAGATATTCCGCTTCAATGAACCTGATTCTGTATAACAACCAAAATGTAAAACTGTATTTCTGTGACTGTCGCCTTCAGGATGTCAGTGACCGCATTGAGAAAGAGCCCCAGGACAGTCCGATAATTGTCAATCTGGAGACCAGAGTTCGTTCAGTTGTTCGTGTCAACTGGCAGTTATATATATCAGTTCCTTTACAGACAGGTAATTTTATATAGCAAGGGACTGAGGACATTAACCCCTTCATGACTGAGGCCCTTTTTTCATTTTTTGCACCCATGTTATATTCCACATTTTAGACCTGAAAATGACGTAAAACCCCCCAACATTATATATTTTATGAATGCCAAGACCCTATAGAATAAAATGGTGGTAGTTGAAAATTTTTATGTTGCGCAATATTAGCGCAACTCCTTATTAAACCCCAAAATGTAGTGACAAATTTAATTAAATGCCCCAAAACACAACAAATTACCCATTTTTTTAATGAAATATAAAAGATGAGGTTACAACGAGTAAAACGATACCCAACATGCCCAGTTTACAGATTGCGTGCGACCGTGAAACGGCGAAAAACTGCAGTCAGGAGCCCAGAACTGACAGCCCAGGGACCGGAAGTGATGCAATCTGCATCGCTCCCGGTTCCCATAGAACGGGGAGGGGATCGATGAACGGAAGTTCGTCGACCTCCTCCCCAGCTCCCCGCGGACACAAAGATCGCCGGTCCCGGGCCCGTAGGAGGGGCAACGGAGCCCGGGAAGCGCAGCGGGGGTGTCTGGCGGGGGGGGCGGCCCCTTCTTCGGGACGCAGAAGCGATCTGGCGACAGGTAAGTCGCCAGGATCGCTTCTGTTGTAAAGCCGACAGTCGGCTCTACAAGTTTAAACAGATTCTGTTTAAACAGCCCCGATGCTGGCGACGTACACTGTACGTCGTCAGTCACGAAGGGGTTAAAAAGCAATGGGTTCCCAAGGTGGGACAGCTTTAATGAAGCGGCTTTATTAAAGGGAAAGTCTAGTGTATCTCTCACGAGCAAATAATCATTGCTGTGTTTACCTTAAAGTAATATTTGGGGTGCCTGCCACATTTTTACATGCTTCCTCTTTTATTGTATTAAATATATTGGTTTGTAGAGCCATTAGTGCAGGAGAGAGGCGACTCTGGCCCTCCAGCTGTTATGGAACTAGATGTCCCATGAGGCATTGTGCCAAGGTCCCTACCGCTGTCTTAGGGACTGGCAGGGAAAAGGTTAAAGCTGTATTTATTTTCAGTTTTCTTTCTCTTTCCATCTTCCTCCATAGACCTCAGAAAGTTCCGTTCCTACAAAGGAAATTCTGTACGGGATCTGCTGAGAGCCATGAGAAATAAGGTAAGCTATGCCTACAAGTTTTTGGCCGGTACAGTAGAGGACTGGGGAGTAAAGTGGGGAAAGGGTTAAAGATTACATTTTTTGTGTGTAGCCCCCCTTTGGGAGATGTCCTCTCTGTCTGATGGGTATCAAACAGAACAGATATTAAAGGGAAATCCCCCACTTCCTGTCTATTTGATGAGCATCAAGGAGAACAGGAAATAAGTGGAACTCTCCCCAACAGTGACACGGACAGCAAAAAAAGGACATTTTAATTCATTTATTATAATGGGTTTATTTTTTATATAAAGTGAGAAATGTTTAGACCAGGCACGTCACTTCCTCAGGCCCCCACATGTGATTAATTGCAGATGAAAGCCGGGAACCAGTTGTGGAAAACAGCAAGATACCGGCTTATACCACAGCCGTGATCTTGGTATAATCACTTAAGGTCCAGGATGTGCAGGTACCTTCTATCATCCCTAAAGAAGAACTCCGGGGTGGAAATATGATTAATTCTTGCAGTGGGGCTACACCCGCACTGCAAGGGTTAAGTGATCGTTTTCCGCCAGGGAATCAAATAAAAAAAGTTATACTCGCCAAATCCTCGGAGCCGGCCAGCTCATCACCTTCACTGCAGCGATGGTATGTCCCTCAGCATCCTCACGTCCAATACACAGTGCATTATACGCGACAACACGAAGATCCTTAGACTGCTGCAGTGAAAGGGGAGAGATCCTGGAAAGATCGGTCTAAGAACAAGGCGGCTCTGGGGATCAGGTGACTATAATTTTGTTATTTCCCCCTTAGACCAAAGCAAGCAGTGGGGCTACCCCAGCACTGCAAGGGTTAATATTTTTCCCAAGTGGTATGTATAGCCAAACTTTTTTTTTACATTTTTGGATAGAGGAGGGAAGGGTTAAAACTTCTGTTTATTTTATACTGTGTGTCCTGTAGAGATTTCCTTTCACTTCCTGTCCTGAAGATGCAGCAGGCAGTGAGAGGCTAATCTCTTAGTTGTAACCAGAACAGGTGTTCTTATTGGTAGATTTCCCCTAACCTTTTGTTCTGGTGACAACTCTAAAATGTTGGATTTCCCACCACTTTTTGTCTGTGACACCATTGGAGAGGGCTGACATCAAAATGACTGTCATTTTGGTGTCACCCCTCTTAAAATTCCATGCCCGACAGTTACATGATAGAGGAGGGGACCCGGCGGCATACCTTATCCAGCCGGGTGAAGGTCCCCTCCTCTCTCTCTCTGCCGCCGCCCATCACCAAGATATCGCTCCGGGTGACACCACACCTTGGGATGCCCCTTTAACCCTTTACCCACCCTAAACTAAAAACAGTGTGGGCTGCGAGAATGTACAAATCGCTATTTTTCTTTTTATGGTCAAGTAACAATGTAGGCGATGCTTTTGTATGGCTAACTCAATATATTATGAGATGCAAGCTTTCACAAACATGTATTCAAGCAGTGAATGTAACTTTCACTGGTGGTGAAAAATCACCAGACTTCCAATCCTCTGCTGCAAATAGAAACACTTGAGGTGCCCATACACTTGCCGATTATCGTACGATAGTTGTGGGTGATCCCGCGAGGGTAAGATAATCGGCAGTTTTATGGGCAGCGATGCGATCTCTTCTACTGTAAGGTCGCACATTTGTCTTCCGCGCACACCTGCCGAAAATCGTACGATTTTCGTCGTATTGGTGGCGTGGTTGGGAGACGAATGCCGCAAGCGCACACTGCCCGCTCAGCACTGCAATCATCGGAAGCCCTCCCCACTGAGATGATCATAAGTATGATCTGCCTGTCCAAGATGGGCAGACCGTACGAAATTTTAATCACCCTACAACCATCGCACAATGAAAGTCGTGCGATGGTTGTAAGGTGTATGGGCAGCTTCAGACCTAGCTCAGGACGCCGACTCCCATGTGGTTCATCCCCCACTCAGCAATCACATTCAGGGCTTGTTCATACCATCCAATGCATGACCTGAACGCACTGGATGGTGTGAAAAGGCCCTCAAAGTGGACACACTGCTACATGCCCTGTTCTCATTGCAACACTGCCTTTGGGTGGGTCGCATAAAATGCAGGAAAAGAAGCAAATCACCAGCACTCGATAATACCACCACACAACTCTGTTTTTGTGTTTACAGAAACATCATTACCATGAGCTGCCGGCGGAGGTCCAGGAGTCGCTGGGTGCCATCCCTGACGATTTTGTGTTTTATTTTACCTCACGGTTTCCGCTTTTACTCCTTCACACACACCAGGCCTTGAAACTGTGTGCAGCAGAGAGACCTTTCCAGAACTATTACCACTGGGAACAGCAGCACTGAGGGCGCCTGTGGCCCTGGTGTTGCCGAGTTTGGCCACTGCTGGTTTTATACAGTGAATTGCACTGACTCCTAGTATTTGCACCATAGTTTTTCACTGTATTTGCTTTTATTTCAAACAGCCACCAAACACATTTCTCTTTTCACATTCCAGTCTATGAACAGAGGCGATTATTGGAAGCCAGACTTTGCAGACTGGAGGCTTTAATGCAAAACATAGTAATGCTGTTACCATGGTAACCGATTCTCTAGCAGCCATCTTTACATTCCATCAAGGCAAGGGTTTTGGTTTTCCCTCTTCTGCACTATTTTGAAGTAAAATCATGTAGCTGCCCTATGGATTCTATGATGATATTTTACTTTAAAATGATATCTTTTTATGAGAAATATTTATTTTTATCAGGGATTGGGATTTTTTGCTGTACAGTTTTAAAATTTTATTAAAACATGTTATTGTAAAGAATTTGTTTTGCCTGTCATGCTGTGTACATTTGTCAGTGCCCAGAGTGACACATGGAGGAATCAAAGTAGAGCTGTGGCCAGGCTATAGCAAAACTTCCAGTTGTGGAACAAATCCCATCATGCATCTGCAAGTTGTGGCTCATGTTATCTTGCAATGGATTATGGGACTTGTAGTTCCACTGCAGCTGGAGGGCCAAAGTTTGGCTGCCCCACTATAGACTAAATATAAATTTGTAATTACAAAGTCCAATTGAAAACTTTACCCCCTCCAATTTTGAAATTACAAATCCCATCCCTGTGGATCCAAGTCTTGCAATACCTCATAGGCCTTGTAGTTTCACAACAGACCAAAGGGGTAGTCAAACTCAATCTGTGGTGCAACTACATGTCCCATGAGGCATTGCAAGGCTGACAGCCATAAGCATGACTCCTAGAGGCTTCATGGGACTTGTAGTTCCAGAGCAGCTGGAGGGCCAAAGTTTGGCTACCTCTGAACTGAACTTTTAGGTATAGTTGGTGAAGTACATTGTAGAAGCATCAAAACAAATGTGTGCAGTCTGTTTTCTTTAGTAATCAGCCAGAGTAGAAAAGCCCAACCCCTGCCAGTGTGCTGCAGGGAAGTACCCTTGCTCTGTGTGGAAGCTGTGGTCTCTCTGCACAGGTCTAACATGACCTGAGTCAGAGCTCAAGCAGCAGGGATTATGAACTTTGCTGACTGCAGAGCTATAGGTCTGACACAGCAGGAGGGTATGTTTGACCTCTGCTTCCATACACAGAGCAGGGGTCCTTCCCTATAGCAGATGGCAAGGTTCTTGCAGTTTTGTGCACCTACAGAAAGCTGGTAGGCACATAAGTTATTATTCTGTGCATGGGTCAGAACACAGATGGGGTGTTCTAATTGACTATGGTATTAATCTTGATAGGTTAGAATGATCCATTTGGGTTCCCCACTGGGAATCGCCTTTTACCCTGGTTCTATTGTCAGACAGAAAGATGCGAATCCAAAGTTGCCACCAGAACAGGAGTTGAGGGGCATCCTTCCATGGGACTTCTGTTCCAGTGGCAACAGTTTAGGGCATTCGTGCCCCCTCACGTTGTACAGATTCCTAAGCAGCAAAGGGGGAATTCTTTCCCCCCCAACTGGACAGACTGCAGAAATATACCAGTCACTTCCTGATTGGAGAATGTTCATCTAGCTCCGTGGTAGGCAAACCTCAGCACTCCAGTTGTGGCGCTACAAGGCCCATGAGCCACAGGCATAATGGGCCTTTGGCTCTGGCCTACTTTGTACATTCATTGCATTTTCAGTTTTCAATCATGGAGGCTGCCCATCACATATGGGTTTTAACTAGAGCAATCTGCATGTGAATGAAGCCCGTCTCAGAACACCCGATCCTCCAGGACAGATCATCCACCCATGAAGGAATTTTCATATTTGCACAACTCTGGCCACTGCTTGCATCAGGGCCGAGGGCTCCAGTATGTAGTGAGGCAAGGGGCTATGACGTTTTCAAAAAGCCAAGTACAGCAACCTGCAGGTCTCTCCCACCAGCTATGATCTGCTGCATTGCATAAAGCACAGATAACCGGTGAGAGTATCATTGGGTCTAATATAAAAAGTAGGGATGCAACGATATATTTGCCACCAAAACATATCGGCCGAAAATGGCACTTCTGGCTAAGTGCCATTTTTTGTGCCAATACAGCAGCGCATCCCTGCTTTCTATCCTCCCCGCTGGGTGCTGCTCTGTGTCCCAGCATTGAGGAGAGCAAGTGTCACAGGTGGCAGAGCGCTGTGAGTGGCCCAGAGTCTCTCCTCCCACACCGCTCAGCTTCCCGTCAGTCCAGCAAAGCGTTGTGGGGGTGGAGACAGCCCGCGCTGTCACAGGTGGATGAGCTCTCCTGTACTGCTTGCTCCGCCTCCTGTGACAGCTGTCAGGAAGGAGAGCAGTACAAACACTCAGCGATCGCTGAGTGTTTGTAGATAATTGAGGACAGAGTATGGTAGATAATTGAGGACAGAGTATGGTTACTATATCCTCAATTATGAATGGGAAGTTATCTACATCACCATCTGTTCATTCATGATTGTGGTTATAGTAAACAATGTGCTCAGGTTATGAATGAACAGGAACACTCAGCATAGAGGATTCCTGTTCATTGAAAACCAGGGATACAGAAAAGAGATGGAGGACTGTCCTTGCTCTTTTTCCATTTTAAAAAGGGAAATATCAAGGGTCTGTTTAGAACTAATATTTCCCCAAAGCCCCTAAAATTTTAATGAAAAAAGAAACTTCATAAAAATTAAAAAAACTAATTTTCGGCCTGATAATTTTGTATTTATTTAGGTTTTGAAATTTCCATGCACCTTTAATGAAAAGGGTATGGAATGAAAACCGAAAGGACGCAAGGTCATTAGCATTTTGATGGTGGAAAGGGAGGAACCAGGGTAGGCAAAATATTAGAAGTCTGCTTTAAAATGATACCATGACCGCTTAGGCAGCCATTCCCACTTCATTTGAAAGAGTCCTGCAATAGGACAGGAGGTGAGACATCTGCATTTTACAGCATATAGTTCCTAGGTTCTCAACTGGTGGGTCGTGACCCAAAAGTGGGTCGCCGTGTGCCTTCCACTTTTCTAGGCGGGAGTCTTAGCCTCCTCCTAGCGCAGCAATGTCAGCACTCACACAGAGCAGCCATTCAGAATATGCTGCCTGGCGTTGAGGTGAGTGGGCTAGAGCTAGGGCCACGAGGGAGCTCCATCCATACATGCATTGCTTACAGCTCCCTCACGCGTCTTATAGAGGTGCCTGGACCAGAGTGAAATCACATTCTGGCTCCCAGCACCTCTACAGAGCGTGCAAGGGAAATTACATGCAATGCATTTATGAATGGAGCTCCGTCACAGCACAGCAGCCCAGCACTGGACCGCCCGTTGAGGATCCACTCCAGTTCTCGTAATGGCACCCCAAACAGACCTCCCCACCCACAGTCCAATTGCCCGCACCAGAATGCATGGTACCACAATGCCATGCGTTCCATTGCAGTGCGACTTGGGTCACCACTTAATGACCAAGGACAAATATGGGTCCCGAGGTTACACAGGTTGAGAACCACTGATAGTTGACCTAAAGGATTTCTTCATCCTTTTAATGGCTGGCCATGTTCTCCATAAAATGGTGATTGCATGAAAGTCTGAAAAGGTACTAAGGCCCCACAAATCCTGACCAAATCCCTATTCAACTTGACATTTGGCTTCCATCA